CCAGGTGCAGCTGCAGCGTCGCCCGCGTGAGTCCCTCACCCCCCAACAGCTTCGTGAGTGGTACGCTAGTTGGGGTTGTCGGGGTGGCCGTAGTGGGAGTCGTCCTGGAGTGAGTAGTTTGGCAGCTGCTTGTAGTGGCCAGGTGCAGCTTCAGCGTCGTCCGCGAGCAGTCCTTTCGCCCCAGCAGCTTCGTGAGTGGTACGCTCAGCGTGACGGGTCACGGGGTACTGCTCGCTGTCCGTACGTCATTCGCACTGGTGCTCGGACTGGTCAGCCTTGCGGGACGTTGGGTCACGCAGAGTCCCGCTGCTTCGCCCGTCTGAGCGACGCCTGGCGTACGGAGTTTGGCGACGCGGCTGAGCTCCCCGACTGGGTGGAGCTGCTTCGGCTGCGGGTAGATATCTATACTCTTGACTATGATGCTATCCTCACTGCCATGTATGCATTGCCTACTAGTGATGAGGGTGACTGTTACCTGTGTGTTCCGCCTGACCCGGGCATTGAGGCTGCTGCTCTAGGTGCTGGTGAGGCTGCTGCTCTAGGTGCTAGTGCGTCTGCTGCCCCAGGTGCTGGTGAGTCTGCTCTCTCAGGTACCACGTCGTCTCAGGCCTTACACACCTTCACTCTTGACTCGGGTGCTTCCCGCTCCTTCTTTCGAGACCGCACCACGCTTACGCCGCTCAGTCGGCCGGTTGCGGTCTCCCTGGCAGACCCCTCTGGGGGTCCTGTCCTTGCTCACTTCTCCACTGTCCTCCCGTGTCCGGCGGCCCCCTCTGGCACCCTGTCTGGTCTTTACCTCCCCTCGTTCTCTACGAACTTGGTGAGTGGTGCTGACCTACAGGATGCGGGGGTTCACCAGTTCACTCCTGCGAGTCAGCGGGTGACCCACTGCACGGACGCTTGGACAGGCCGACACCTGGCCACGTTTACACGTCGGCCGGGGTCGAGCCTGTACACACTGACCACTGCGTCTCCTCCAGTCACTGCGTCTGGTCAGGTAGCTGCGTCGGGTCAGGTGTTTGCTGCAGCGTCCAGGTCTGGTCCTGAGTCTGCCCCCTGTTCGTGTCGCCTCCTGTCTCACGAGACTCTCCTCTGGCACCACCGCCTTGGTCACCCCTCCCTGCTTCGTCTCCGAGGCATGGCCTCCCGTGTCCTTGTCTCTGGTCTTCCCCGGTCCCTCCCTCCCCTTCCTCCGGGGCCTGGCCCTACCTGCGTCCCCTGTGTCGAGGGGCGGCAGCGGGCTGCCCCTCACTCCTCCCAGTTTCCTCCGACAGAGGCCCCGCTGCAGACGCTTCACATGGACGTGTGGGGCCCGGCCCGCGTCCGTGGACAGGGTCACGAGCGCTACTTCCTGCTGGTGGTTGACGACTACTCGCGTTACACCACAGTCTTCCCCTTGCGCAGCAAGGGTGATGTCACTGAGGTGTTGATCGACTGGATCCGCACAGCTCGTCTCCAGCTCAGGCAGAGCTTCGGCTCGGACTTTCCTGTTCAGCGTCTGCACTCTGACAGAGGTGGAGAGTTCTCCTCTGGCCTTCTGCGAGCCTACTGTCGTGCACGAGGCATCCGCCAGACCTTCACGCTTCCGGACTCTCCACAGCAAAATGGGATTGCTGAGCGCCGCATTGGCATGGTCATGGACGTCGCCCGTACGTCCATGATGCATGCGGCTGCCCCCCATTTTCTGTGGCCGTTTGCGGTTCGGTACGCGGCGCATCAGATCAACCTTCACCCCAGGGTCTCCATGCCGGAGACCTCCCCAGCCTTGCTGTGGACGGGGAAGGTTGGCGATGCGTCTGCGTTCCGTGTCTGGGGATCTCGGGCGTTTGTCCACGACTTGTCTGCGGACAAGCTGTCCCCTCGTGCTGCTCCTTGCGTCTTCCTTGGCTTCCCCCCTGACGCGCCAGGGTGGCAGTTCTACCACCCCACCTCTCGCCGTGTTCTGTCCTCCCAGGACGTCACGTTTGACGAGTCGGTCCCCTACTACCGCCTCTTCCCCTACCGCACTCCGTCCCTCCCCCCGCCACCGCTCTTCCTTGTACCAGGTCCCCCCCCGGTAGACCCCCTCCCCCCTCAGGGTCCTGCCCCTTCAGGTGTGTCCCAGGTAGACGCAGTCGAGCCTGTCGAGGTTACTGGTGACTCTGGTGCTGCTGAGGGTGCTGAGCCTGGGGGTGCTGACTCTGGGGGTGCTGAGCGTGTGGGTGCTACGCCTGGGGGTGCTGAGCCTGAGGGTGCTACTACTGGGGGTCCTGAGCCTGGGGGTGCTGAGCCTGGGGGTGCTACTACTGGGGGTGCTGAGCCTGGGGGTGCTGAGCCTGGGGGTGCTACGCCTGGGGGTGCTGAGCCTGGGGGTGCCACGCCTGGAGGTGCTGAGCTTGGGGGTGCGGAGCCTGAGGGAGCTGGGCCTGCTCGTGTGGCGTCTGGCGGTGCTGAGCCTGGAGGTTCTCCGGGTGCTTCGTCTCGGCGGGAGCCACTCTCTCCACAGGAGCTGCGCGAGTGGTTTGCCCGGCGCTGGAGGCGTGCTGCTGGAGCTGGAGGTTCTTCGGCTGCTGAGGGTGCTGGTGCCGCGGGTCCCGGAGGTGCTCGTACTGGGAGTACTGGAGCTGCTGGGCCTGCGGGTACGACTGGAGCTGGAGCTGCTGAGGGTGTTGGCGCTGAGGCTACTGCTGTCGGTCCTGGAGGCGGTCCTGCTGGGGGTACTACTGGTGCTGCTGGAGGAACTGGAGCTGGAGGTGCTGCTGGCGCTGGTGCTGCCGCTGGGGGTACTGGTGCTGTCCCTGCTGTGTCTGGAGTCGCCGCGCGGCCTAGACCGTACTTCGTTCCGCTCCTTCAGCAGGTTCTTGGTCTCCCGCCTTCTACTGGTCCTCCTCCTCCCTTCGAGTGTCCACAGCCTGTCCCGTCACAGTTACAGTTACAGCCGGCCTCCCCACTGCCCGCTCCTTCTCCCTACACTGGTCCTACTGGAGGTCTTACTGAGCGTCGTGAGCATGCGTCTCGCCCTGCGTCGCCTGTCCGTGCTGCTCGCCCTAGTGGTCGTGGTTCGCGTCAGCGTCCTCCTCCTGTCCCTGGCACGCACCGGATGTCTCTGCGTCCGTCCACTGCTCCTCTGCGTGCCCCTTTGCCTTCTCCTCCTGAGTCCTCTCTTCCTGCTCTTCCTGACCCGGAGTCGGACTCTCTTCGTGCTGCCAGTCCTACTGTCACGCGTCTCCTTGCTACTGTTGTCACTGACCCTTCCTTTGAGTCCACTGCTGCGTCTGCCCTAGTTACTGAGCTCGTCGACTTTGCTGCTCGCTGTCGTCTAGACTACGCTGCTAGTCTTGTTGCTGAGTCTGAGTCTGTCTGTCCTCCGTCCGTCGGGGGTGAGTGTGCCCTTGGCACGGACGTCCTTGAGGACAGGCAGGAGGAGTTCCAGTGTTTGGCTGCTGCTTCACCTCATCTCGTGTCCGTACTGCTTACCCCTGAGGGAGACCCGGATGCACTTGACATCCCGACTCCGCGCTCTTACGCGGAGGCGATAGAGGGTCCCTACTCCTCTCAGTGGCAGGCAGCTATGGACGCAGAGATGGCTTCCTGGAAGTCCACAGGCACCTACGTTGACGAGGTTCCCCCGCCTGGGGCGAACATCGTCAGTGGCATGTGGATTTTCAGGGTGAAGCGGCCGCCGGGTTCTCCGCCTGTCTTCAAGGCGCGTTACGTGGCTCGTGGCTTCAGTCAGCGGCAGGGAGTTGACTACTTTCAGACCTTCTCTCCCACCCCGAAGATGACCACTCTTCGGGTACTGCTGCACATAGCTGCTCACCGCGACTACGAGCTGCACTCTCTTGACTTCAGCACTGCTTTCTTGCAGGGCAGCCTGCACGAGGAGATCTGGCTGCGTCGCCCACCTGGCTTCACTGGGTCTTTTCCTCCTGGCACCCAGTGGAGCCTCCGGCGGCCAGTCTACGGTCTCCGCCAGGCACCGCGTGAGTGGCACGACACACTGAGGACTACACTTGCGGCTCTTGGGTTTGCTCCCTCTACTGCCGACCCGTCGCTGTTTCTGCGCACCGACACTTCTTTGCCGCCGTTCTACATCCTCGTGTACGTCGACGACTTGGTCTTCGCCACAGCTGACACTGCTGGACTCGCCCACGTGAAGTCCGAGCTGCAGAAGAGACACACGTGCACAGACCTGGGTGAACTGCGCAGCTACCTTGGCTTGCAGATCACCCGGGACAGAGCACGCCGCACCATTACCTTGACTCAGTCACACATGGTGCAGCAGGTCCTTCAGCGCTTCGGCTTCACGTACTCCTCGCCTCAGGCCACTCCTCTGCCTACTCGCCACTCGCTCTCAGCTCTGCCTTCGGATGAGTCCGTAGAGTCGAGTGGCCCGTACCCAGAGATTGTTGGCTGCCTCATGTACCTGATGACCTGCACACGACCTGACCTTGCATACCCTCTTAGCATTCTTGCACGCTATGTTGCTCCTGGGAGACACAGACCGGAGCACATGGCTGCAGCGAAGAGGGTGTTGCGCTACTTGTGCAGTACGTCGGGCATGGGGCTTGTGCTTGGAGGGCAGAGTCTAGTGGTCCTCATGTCGCGATATATATTTATATATGTTTATAACTGCCTGTAGCTTTAGCTTTAGTGTAGTTATGTTTCTTTGTTGTGGTGGTGCACCTCTTTGTTTCTTTGCTATATGTTCTTGCAAACCTATAGTGAAGACACACATTCTCGATTCTCTCTTGGCACAACTCCCTCGACACCCGCTTGGCCTAGGCTACTAAGCCTAGGCCCTTAGTTAAACCCGTTCCTAGCTAAGTTCGTCTCGTAACATGGTAACAGAGTGGTCCGTCCTAGGACCTATTTCGTTTATGGGCCCACCACATTTCGCGACTGCTACAGTTAGTGGCGCGAAATCCGCACCTTGCGTATCTTTTTTTTTTCCCTGCTGCTCGCGCTGCCCCCCGTCGCCTGCCTCGTCGCGGCTCTCAGCGCGATGGGCGCGGCAGACGCTATGGCGAACGCCAGCGGACCCGCCGCCAGCGACCCGCCAGCGAAGTCGCCAGCGAAGTCGCCAGCGGCCCGCGATCGCGTTTGCGCCATCGACTGCAGCCAGCGCCACCTTGCACCTCGCCCGTCGCACCGGCGGTCGCTGTGGGGGGGAGAGGGAAGAAGGGATGGGAGTGGCGGCGGAACTCTGTGGGGGCGAGAGGGAAGAGGGGATAGGAGTGACGGGGGAACGCCAGCGACGATCGCCAGAGCACTGGCGATCGCCCCAGCCGCTCATTCGCCCGCTCTGCCCGTCGCATTCCCCCCGCCCCCTGCCCGTCACCCACCCCCCCCCCCCCCCCCCCCGTCGCGACTGTTTGCGTGTGCAGCGGCGGTCGCCATGGGGAGGAGAGGGAGGAGGGGAAGGGAGTGGCGGTGGGACGCTGTGGAAAGGAGAGAGAGGAGGGGAAGGGAGTGGTGGCGGAACAGCACCAGCGCCAGCCGCCAGCACCAGGAACCAGCCCCAGCGCCAGCCGCCAGCACCAGGAACCAGCCCCAGCGCCAGCCGCCAGCACCAGGAACCAGCCCCAGCGCCAGTCGCCAGCACCAGGAACCAGCCCCAGCGCCGGCCGCCAGCACCAGGAACCAGCCCCAGTGCCAGCCGCCAGCACCAGGAACCAGCACCAGCGCCAGCCGCCAGCACCAGGAACCAGCCCCAGCGCCAGCCGCCAGCATCAGGAACCAGCCCCAGTGCCAGCTGCCAGCACCAGGAACCAGCACCAGCGCCAGCCGCCAGCACCAGCACCAGCAACCCCACCTGTGACCAGCAGCCCCACCTGTGACCAGCAGCCCCACCTGTGACCAGCAGCCCCACCTATGACCAGCAGCCCCACCTGTGACCAGCAGCCCCACCTGTGACCAGCAGCCCCACCTGTGACCAGCAGCCCCACCTGTGACCAGCAGCCCCACCTGTGACCAGCAGCCCCACCTGTGACCAGCAGCCCCACCTGTGACCAGCAGCCCCACCTGTGCCCAGCAGCCCACCTGTGAAAGACTGTACAGGGACCATCGTGGGTTGGGAGAGGTATGGAGGAAGACAGGGGTGGAGGGAGTGCGGTTCCAGGGGGCGACTGAAATGGGGGGTGAGGTTGAGGGCGGGTGGTTGGTTGGGGGTGGGGATGTGGGGGTTAGTAAGAGGGGACGCTGCGGCCACCCCCCCACCTCTTCTCCTCATCCCCCACTCAACCCCCCCTTTCGTAAAAGGGGGTTAGTAAGAGGGGACGCTGCGGCCACCCCCCACCTCCTCTCCTCATCCCCCACTCACCTCCTCCTGTGTTCTTATCTATTCTCCTCTCCTCTCTTCCTCTTGCCTCCTCCTCCTCACGTACCCCTCTGCCGTCTCCCACCGCACCTGCCCCTTCAGGGGGTGTGACTTGCTCTAGCTATGTGCTGCAGGCAGTTAAGGGGGTGTGTCGCGATATATATTTATATATGTTTATAACTGCCTGTAGCTTTAGCTTTAGTGTAGTTATGTTTCTTTGTTGTGGTGGTGCACCTCTTTGTTTCTTTGCTATATGTTCTTGCAAACCTATAGTGAAGACACACATTCTCGATTCTCTCTTCGCACAACTCCCTCGACACCCGCTTGGCCTAGGCTACTAAGCCTAGGCCCTTAGTTAAACCCGTTCCTAGCTAAGTTCGTCTCGTAACACCTCACTGGGCACGCAGACGCTTCTTGGGCTGACGACCAGGCTACGCAGCGGTCGTCACAGGGTTACACCTTCAGCCTTGGTTCCGGCTCTGTTTCGTGGCGGGCTACCCGCTCGTCTTCTGTTCTCGGCTCCAGTTGTGAGGCTGAGATCTACGCCGGGGCCATGGCTGCACAGGAGCTTCGCTGGCTCACCTACCTGCTGACTGACCTCGGAGAGCCGCCTCGTTCTCCTCCAGTACTGTACGTAGACAACAAGGCCATGCTGGCCTTGTGTCGAGAGCAGAGACTGGAGCACAGAACGAAGCACATTGCTCTCCGCTACTTCCTTGCTCGTGAGCTACAGCAGCGTGGTCAGCTACGGCTTGCGTACGTGGCCTCTGAGGCCAACACTGCTGATATCTTCACCAAGGCACTTGCGCCTTGTGATCATCAGCGCTTCTGTACTCAGCTGGGTCTTGTGCCTACCTTGCCTCACTTGCTCACCCCTTGACCTTGTTTGTACTGTTGCATATATATATACACCTGCTCTTGCTTGTCTAGCCTTATATATATATGTAATCCTGCATGTGAACTGGCCTTGTGGCCTTGAACTTGTGCTCGGAATGTGTGGTGACTTTGTGATCCACCCTGAGCTTGCTTTGCTTTGCTTGACTGGTCTTGTGACCCCTTGTTCTCCCCCACTTTGCCTATGGGGGTGTGTCAGATTTATATGACAGAGCTACTGTAGGCTATAGTGGGGTAGCACATATGGGGTACAGTTTTCTAGGGTTTGCTTTTGTACCCAACTTTCCCTTAGTCAATTCATTCCTCATTTCTTCTCAGGTTAAACTCTGGGTAGAGTGATGTAGTAGCGGAAGCGTTTAAATGAAGTCCTTGAACCACCTTGCGCTGGTATGTGAGGGCAAAGTAAGTTGATTAAAACAAGCAAGTACAAAGGTTTATATAAGAGTACAAAGAATACGAAGAGATATAATTAAACTGTTTTACTGTTGCGGTTCGATACAGTGCGACTCGGGCAACTGCTCAATGTCGAGTCAGTTGTGTGTCCTTGCTGTCGCGCTGCATTTGTCAAGTCAAAGGTCGCTGACCTTTGACTTTCGCGTAACCTCCAGCGGTTACTTCAACCTCCGAGGGTTGACTCGATGGTGCCTCGATATGCTCTGCTTCGCTTGTGCCTTGGTGTTTCGACACGACAGAGGCGCTTAAGATTGTTTGTTCCCAACATGTACTATACCCCCCCCTTTTGGGGTGATTTTTTATAACACCCCCTTTTTTACACAGAATGCCTTATTTTACCGTCATCGCCCGGATATAAGACATATATGTCTTATCTCGTACACGGGCAAAAATGCTTGAGTTAACTTGTAAACGGGATGGTTTAGGGTGTCTTATAAGTCATATAAATGGAAAAAAATTTAAGTTGACTGTAACACTTGCAAAGTGTGTAGAAAACACCCAGAGACCAGATTCATTGAAACAGGCCGACCTCGGTGGTGATGCATGCAGCGCCCACACTTGCCACGTGAGGGAGCTGCCACCGCTGGCAATATTCCTCTGTGCTGGCAGCATCTAATGATGCTGCCAGCGTCGTTTTGCTGCCAGCAGCGCAGGGATGCTTCCAGAACGCTGCTGGCAGCACGTTGGCAGCGTGAGGGCTGTCCTCTACGAGGAGATGCCTCGTAGAGGAGCGGCTCGGCACCTGTGGATGGGGCACTCTGGCTGGGGGGGGTAGTCGGCCTCTCACTTCATTTGGTGCTCAAGGGTTTAGGAATACTCGTCTCAACCTTGCTCTCGGCAGGCTTTCTAACCATGCGCAGCAAAGTACCCCCAGGCTCGTCCTCTCCTCGTCCTCACGTGCAGGTGAATAACTACGGGCGAATTAACTCGCCCGACGATGACATCCGTGTAGCCATGGCGAAGAACGCGAGCAAGGCGGGAAGTCCTACCGCGGCCTCCGGTGCGAGCTGTGACGGGGACGACGGAGAAGAAGCGAACGGCGACGACGCCGAGGAGGATTGGCCAGAGAACGGCCACGACGACAGCGCTTCGGGCGACGAATTAGGTCCTGCCGACATCGAGGAGGACGAATGGTGGAATCGGCCGGTCGGGAGCGACGACGAGGTGGAAGAGTGGCGGGCTGGAGATTCGGACAACGACGGAGGTGAAAATGCGAATGGTGACAACGCGGAGGCAGCGGCGGATGCACAGGAAGCGGCGATGGATGCGAATGAGGAGGCTGAAGACGGCGCGGCCGCAGTTGCGGATGCGGATGCTGTGGCAGAGTCGGACACGGTTGCTGCGGATGCCGTCTTATTTGACGGTGAAAGCGGCGACGACGACCCATGTAGCCTTGGGACAGACGACGACGTTCCGCTACTGAAGAGGAGGCTGCGCCATCGCCTACAGTCCAAGTCGAAGCGGGCCCGCGTAGTGCTCTCTGACGACGACAGTCCGGGGGAGGAGCGTCGCCCGAAACTCACCGCTGCGGAGAAGGGAAAAGCCAAGGTCGCGGAAGCCCCTGCTAAGGCCCCTGCTAAGGCCCCTGCTCGTCGCCGCACAAGCAACAAGAAGCGGACATCCGACGGAGACCCGGGATCTAGCAAGGGTGCGGCTAAGAAGAAGGCGAAGAAGGCGCCGAATCCTGACGACATCGTCGTGAACGAGACTCTGGGCAGCGACGATGAGTACGCGGCGGCGGCGGGCCCGATTCCCACGTTCCCTGAGAAGGTCACGCCGAAGGACCCCACCCTCCATAATCCCAACACCCGCCCACCTTCCCCTCGCAGCAAGGACACTACGAGGAAGCGCCGCAGTTGGACCGTGCGTGAGAAGCTTAAGTGGGCGCGCCGCTATCTGGAGCTCGGCTCCTTGAAGAAGACGAGCGTGGAGTCAACCGCGTCCATCGCCTGCATCAGACGCTGGAGTGCGGAGGCGGCTGCGGGCGTCTACAAGGGCGCGGCTAACTGCCGCAAGCGGATGCACGGGGGGGGGCGCCACTCACACTACCCCGACATGGAGGCAGCGTTGTACCGCTACATCTGCCTTCAGCGCGCTAACGGGGTGGCCATCTCGGTGAAGGACACCCAGAAGTGGAGCCGCGAGTGGATGAAGAAGCATCACGCCGGCAAGAACTGGAACGCGAGCTCTCACTGGAGTCAGCGTTTCCGTGACCGCTGGAACCTGGTGATGCGGGTGAAGACCAAGGTCGGCCAACGACTGTCGGCAGGTGCGTGTTGAAGGAATTCGTGTCGCGCGCGGGCTATTGAATGCATGTCCCTCAACCAGTGTCTAACCATTCCGTGTTTCCGTTGCGCGTGTACCGTTTGCAGAGTGCGCGAAGGACTGCGAGTCCTTCTGGAAGTTCGTGCGCATCAACAGGGCGCGGCACAACATCGACCTGGCCCGCATCATCAACGCGGACCAGACTCCACTATTCGTGGAGATGCCAGCTGAACGGACGATCGAGCACCGCGGCGCGCGCTCGGTCCCAATCCGCACTGCAGGCTACCAGAAAACGCGCTTGACGGTGATGCTCGCGTGCACTGCATCCGGGGAGAAGCTGCGGCCGTGGGTGTGGTTCAAGATGAAGAACGTCCCCAACTGTGAGATTCCGGAAGGTAAGCGTAATGAATTCAACCGTGCGACTGCCTGATGAGCGTGCCCCACTGTGCTGAAGCCCGTCTGTCCCTTGTGTGCCTGGCAGGAATCGTGGTCCAAGCACAGGACAACGGGTGGATGGACGAGAGCGCTGTGCAGACCTGGCTGTCCAAGGAGGTGCTGCCCCATCTGAACCCCCAGCGCGGCCAGAACGCGAGGCGTGCGATGCTGGTGTTGGACTCCTACCGCGGTCACATCACCCAGACCATGCTTCAGTCGTACCGCACGCACAGCATCACCCCTGCAGTCATCCCAGCAGGTTGTACGAGCCAGATTCAACCCCTGGACGTCTCAATCAACCGGTGCTTCAAGGCTGCTGTGCGAGCGCGCTACGCCAGGTGGTTCATGCGTGAGGGGATTCACTTGAAGACGAATAAGGGTGAGTTGGTCCTTCATTTATGGTATTATTCCTATTCTGTTTCCTGTCCTTGTCTTAAACATGCTCCTTCATGTCCGTGTCTCTAACATCTCGCTGCCCCGTCCTCAAACCCACCCGCAGGAAACCTGCGGAGGCCGCCCCACCCCGTGGTGCTGCAGTGGATCGCGGAGGCTTGGGATCAAGTCCCCAAGCAGATCATCATCGACGCGTTCCGCCACTATGGGATCTCAAGCAAGCTGGACGGAACGGAGAACCACCTGGTGATGTCTCACCTGCGCGCCAGGAGCACCACTGATGTCTCCGTGGACATGTCCCTCGGGGGGACCACAGGCGACAACACGCGCCTGCTCGGTCGGGCTCCAGAGGAGGAGGAGGAGGAGGAGGAGGAGGAGGAGGAGGCGATGCAGGCGGAGGGCGTGCGGGAGGTGGCAGTGGCAACCGGCCTGGAGGTGCTGTACCAGGAGACCCCCAACTACCGCGGGGCGGCGGCCGAGGCTGACCGCATGATCGAGCCTAGGGAGACGGCTAGGCATGCCTGGCGAGTGCCAGACCTGGGTGTAGAGCCTGTTGTTAGCGCAGGCGAGGAGGCGGTGACTGAGGGGGGTTAGGTAGAAGTAGAGATTCATGAATGTATGCATGTACCCCCCTAAAGTAAAGAAGGCTCGTTTAGAAGACACCCCCTGTTTATAAGAAAACCCCTAAACCCCGGTTCTGATTATAAGACATATATGTCTTAACTCGTACACACAAATAGGTGTCGTATAAAAAGGCTAGCCTGTTTATAAGAGACACCCGTATAGTAGACAACCCCTGTCTACTATTCAACACTGTCTTATATCCGGGCGATGACGGTAGGTGTTAACGAGTACGGTATGTGCAATGACGGGGTGACATCGCGACGATCACTTTTTGCACGAAATTACATGGTAATTTCGAAAGTATCTGCTGGGGTCACATCCGTCCCACTTTTTCACTGTTGCCACGCTGGTAGTTCTTTCGCTATCAAGTGGCCAAAGAGGTGCCACCTCGCAACTTCAAGGAGTCAATGTTGTCGTCGAAACTGACAATCTCGCTTCCAAATGTGATGCTAAACCAACCTTGAAAACACCCAAGCTGCCTATTTATAGAAACCCTTACACTAAAAAAATGTCATATATATGCACCCGGGTGGTATGTAGCTTTTTCCTATGAGAAGACCCCCCCCATTTTTTTGCTGTATTTAAAGTAAGACCCTAGGGTGTTATGTCCGGGTGATTACGGTATGTACTATGTCCTATATTCCATGCAGAAGGTACTTATCAAATTTGAATGCTCTCTATTCTGTGTGCTTCAAATGGAAGGAAGCGTGCTTAAGCTGCCTAAGCAAGTGCATGTTTCAAAGGTTGCAGGCGTGACGTACAGTACATGCTTGCAGGAATAAACTCAGGACAGGACAGAAAATGTTGTCAGTAACAGTTACCCTACGTCTCCACACTGGCTAACACTGGATCATGTAGGTTTCCACTTACTGTACCGTATGTTGTCCACTTGATTCGACAGGTTTAACAAGCTTTACAAAACGTAATGATTTCAGATTCTGTTACCTTATCCCTCTGCCAGCCCCTGTGACAGGAACTGCTGCACGAACCCCACGTGCAGAGCCACACCAATGGTCTGATGCTGCTGCTGCCCCAAGCACTACATGTGGACTGTGCATTTATCCCCCTACCCTATCCTTCTATGCCTTTGCCCCGATCCCTGCCCTCCCCCTGTGAGAGAGAGGCACTGCTGCACGAACCCCACAAGCAGCGCCACACCAATGGGCAGAGCCAAGCTATACACACCTTCCCAATGCCTTCCCTATACGCCTGCACCTCTATGCCTCTGCCCGCCCCCGGGACAAGTACTGCTGCACGAACCCCACATGCAGCGCCACGCCAATGGGCAGAGCCGCCTCGTCAATGGTGAACACAGGGGAGTGGAGAGGCGGACTGTTGCTGCTGCTGCTGCTGCTGCTGCTGGTGCTATTGACCTCAGATGCCCCCACTCCCAGAAAGAACATAGCCCCGGGCACAGCCTCCTGGTAAAAAGAAAAATCCTCCCCAGCCATCCACGGATCTACATCCAGGTACGCGGAGCTTCCCAGAAGCTTCTGGACCACGTCGCGCCCGAGCGCGTGCATGCTGACGTCATTCACCGTGGGGGGGTAGGCTGGGATGCGCGTGGGCGGCCAGGCGTACCCGAGAGGGTCGGCAAGAGGCTCGGAAAGAGGCTCGGAAAGAGGCTCGGAAGAAGGTTCAGCAGCACCGTTAGCAGTACAGGAGCCTTGAGCCTTGTTGTCAGCTGCATTTGAACTGCATCCTTGTGCTCCTGCTGTTGCCAAACCATCCGAAGCAGAATCATCAACAGCAGCAGATGCAGCACTGGCATCCATCATGCCATAATCCACCTCCCCCCTGCATCCAAACACGCGCGCCTGCGTGTCAATGATGTCAGCAATGCGTCGTTCCAGGTCAGCGAGCCCGTCTTTAGTTGTGGCTCTGTACGTGCCGCGCAGTGTGACTGTATCGGGGATGACATTGTCAGCCGAGCCGCCGTGAAACTGAGTCACTGATACCACCCGCGAGGCAAATGGGTCTGTTTCTCGAGAGACTATTGCCTGGAGGCTGGGAAAACGGAGGGGAGTAGTGGGGAAGGAAGGGGGGAGAGGGAGGAGGAAGCAGAGGAGAGAGGGGGATGGGGCAAGAGAGAGAAAAACATGGGTCAGAAAACCTAAATTCAGAGGTGGCTCTGTAGGTGCCCTGCACTATGGGTAGGTGCCCCGCAGCGTGACTGTATCGGGGATGACATTGTCAGCCGAGCCGCCGTGAAACTGAGTCACTGATACCACCCGCGAGGCAAAGGGGTCTGTCTCTCGAGAGACGATTGCCTGGAGGCTGGAGGAAAACAGGCCGACGGGAGGACAGCCGGCAGGGAAATGAAATGTGGAAAAAAGAAAGGAGAAGGAGAGGGGGGTAGGGGTGAGAATAGCGATGCACTTCTCCAGTCAGTGGTGGCCCTATAGGTGCAGCGCAGTGTGACTGTTTCGGGGATAACATTGTCAGCCGAGCCGCCGTTAAACTGAGTCACTGAGACCACCCGCGATGCAAAGGGATCAGTTTCTCGTGACACTATGGCTTGGAGGCTGAGACACAGAGGAAAGGAGGGGGGGATGCAGGAAGCAGGGAGAAAGAAGGGGGATACGAGAAAAAACAACAATAGAGTGGGCAGATCCTGTTCTCAGGTTTGAGTCGAACCAAACCAGGGTCAGAGGGGTGACATTTGAGTCGACTCAAAAGTCACCTCAGATTCTGTTGTTAGGTTTGAGTCGACTCAACCAGGGTTAGCAGATTTGATTTTTAGTGGTGGTGGTATGGCCCCCTTGTCCCAAACTGAGGTTACTGTATACCTGTATACCTTTACACCTGTATACCTTTACACCTGTATACCTTTACACCTGTATACCTTTACACCTGTATACCTTTACACCTGTATACCTGGTGTGGCCCCCTTGTCCCGGATACGATGTGAGCAGCAGCGAGGATGGGGTCAGCAGCAAATTGGAGCATGGCAGCATGGCCCCCCTTTGCCCCACTAAGATGCTACAATACCATGTGCTCTTCTCCTTACCTAGAAACGATGTGAGCAGCAGCGAGGATGGGGTCTGCTGCGAACTGAGGCATGGCTGCATGGCCCCCTTTGCCCCACACTGTGGCGTTGAATCGACCCGACCCCGCTAGCAGCATGCCAGGGCGACTGCCCACGTAGCCTGCTGGGATCTGCATGGGATTAAAGGAGGGAATTAAAGAAAGAAAGAAAGAGAGCAGTGAGGAGATGGGTTTTCGTTTTGCCCCACACTGTGGCGTTGAATCGACCCGACCTGGCTAGCAGATTGCCGGGCCAACTGCCCACATAGCCTGGTGGGATCTGCAGGAAACAAGAGGATCGGGAAAGAGAATGGGTGAGAAAGGGGAGAATGGGATCAGAAAGGGTGAGAAAGCGGAGAGAGAAACGAGCTAGCACCAGTTGCAGCGTGGCCCATTCCTCTCGCCCCACACTGTGGCGTCGAATCGATCGGACCCTGGTAACAGCATGCAAAGGCGACTGCCCACATAGCCTGCTAGGATCTGTACGGGAAGAGAAAGGGAGGGAGAGGGCAAAAGGGGAAGAGAGAGTAGGAAAGAAAGTCAAGGTGGGGGAAAGTGGAGGAGAGGCAGCTGCATTAAGATGTACAATAATGAAATTGGCATAGGATGATGAACATATGTACCTATGTATACATGTATTTACAAATAAATGTGACTCTCAACTTGGGCAATACGTGCAGGCCAAATGCAGCAGATGCGCTATAACGCGGGTGCTCCACGCAAACGAGTCGGGAAGTGCTGGAATCATAACGCGGATGATTTCGATGGTGCGGCACGTTTCATATGGAGTATCCGAATAGAGATGATGAGTTGGTGGAATGAGATTAAGGATGCGGATTCAAAGCCACTAGCTGTCCAGACCGTTGAAAGCCACTAGCTCCAGCGCTCTTGCATTTTGAACGTGCGGCCAAACATCCGGCGGGAACTTGCCATCAGCACCCCAATCGCCCCTTACTTCAAATTCGCGTCCTTAATTCCATTCTCCCAGCTGATCAACTCTACTATGTTGCTCCATATGAAACGTGTCACCATCGAAATCATGCGCGTCATAGTTCCAACACTTCTCGACTCCTTCGATGTAGAGCACCCGCGTTATGGCGGACCAGTTGATTTGCACCGTGGATCAATAAATATGTACGCACATATCTACACATATATTAACATATGAGTATGCTTCGCACCTTGAGAGCCCCACAACGCATTATTCGCTTCCTCTCATTCAACACATATATGTGTGTAAAAGCATAATTAGATTACATTGAATTCCCACCTTAGGTGATACGTGCAGAGCGAATGCAGCAGACGCGCCCTTGAGCGCCCCCCCATCCACCATGTGCCCCCTTCCACAGAAATACCTATGTTTATACATAATTATAATACATAGACATCCCACCTTGGGTGAGATGTGCAGGGCGAATGAAGCACACGCGGCCTTGAGAGCGCCCCCGTCCACCATGCGCTTCCCCCATTCCACACATATATGTACGCATGCATAACACATTCATACAAATACATAGACTTCCTACCTTGGGTGAGACGTGCAGGGCGAAGGCAGCAGACGCGCCCTTGAGCGCCCCCACATCCACCATGCGATTTCCCCATTCCACACATATATGTACGCATGCCTAACCACAAACATACAAATACATAGACTTTCGACCTTGGGTGAGACGTGCAGGGCAAAGGCAGCAGACGCGCCCTTGAGAGCCCCCCCATCCACCATGCGTTTCCCCCCTGCCCCCCCTTCCTCTGCTGGCTGGAAGATAAGACGAACCGTGCCGCCCAAGGTACCTGGGGAAGGGGCGGCAAGAGAAACGACAGAGGAGAGCAGACGCAAACCGTCAAGAAAGGATTTGGAGAGAAATATATGAAACAAAAGAGATGAGCGACACAGCAAAGAGACGAGAAAGGGATGAGATACAGCGGCCGTCATTACGGGAAGCAAGGACACACGTCACATTCCCACAACCATCCATAAATGCAGTCGTAATAATCTGACCATCCAGCAAAGAAAACACTGTCTGTCCGAGTAAGTGCGATTCAGACGCGGGCCCAACACATTCTTCCCAGAAAAAAAAAAGTTTTTTTTCTTTTCTTTTCTTTTCTTTTTTGTACCTGCCCGGGAGCGATCCTGGAGAATTCGGGCAGCGGCGAGCAGCATGGCGGTGTGGGCGTCATGGCCGCATGCGTGCATGGCACCGGAATGGCGCGACTTGAATGGCACATCCGTCTCCTCCGTGATTGGTAGGGCGTCCATGTCGGCTCGCAGAGCCACTATGAGACCTTCACCTGTGCCAATGGTTGCTACCACACCTGGGGTGGGCAGGGTCAGAAAGAGAGGCGCATAGGGTGGGGAGGAACAGAGAAATGAAGGGCGAGCGGAGGCATGAAGGGCGAGCGGAGGCATGAAGGGCGAGCGGAGGCATGAAGGGCGAGCGGAGGCATGAAGGGCGAGCGGGGGCATGGCGGGCGGTGTGGGCGTCGTGGCCGCATACGTGCATGGCACCGGGATGGCGCGACTTAAAGGGCACGTCTGTCTCTTCTGTGATGGGCAGCGCATCCATGTCGGCCCGCAGAGCCACTATGGGACCTTCGCCGGTACCAATGGTTGCCACCACGCCTAGAGAATTGGCAAAAGGCCAGAGAGCAGGGAGGGGGAGATGGATTTGAAGGGCAAGTCCGTCTCTTCTGTGATGGGCAGCACGTCCATATCTGCCCGCAGTGCAACTATGGGACCTTCGCCCGTGCCGATGGTTACTACAACACCTGGAGAATTGGAAGGAGGCCATAGAGCAGGGAGTGGGAAGGGGAGAGGGAAGAGGGAGAGAGAGAGGGAGAGGGAGAGAGGGGAGGGAGGAAGGAAAGTGGGTTCATGAGGGGGAACATGGCGGTGTGGGCGTCGTGGCTGCATGCGTGCATGGCACTGGGATGGCGCGACTTGAAGGGCACATCCGTCTCCTCTGTGATTGGTAGGGCGTCCATGTCGGCCCGCAGTGCCACAATTGGACCTTCACCTGTACCAATGGTTGCTACAACACCTGGAGAATTGGAAAGAGGCCATAGAGCAGGGAGTGGGAAGGGGAGAGGGAGTGGGAGAGGGAGAGGGAGAGGGAGAGGGAGAGGGAGAGGGAGAGGGAGAGGGAGAGGGAGAGGGAGAGGGAGAGGGAGAGGGAGAGGGAGAGGGAAAACGGGTTCATGAGGAGGGGCATGATGGGCGTCGTGGCTGCATGCGTGCATGGCACCGGGATGGCGCGACTTGAACGGCACATCTGTTTCTTCTGTGATGGGCGGCGCGATCATGTCGGCTCGAAGCGCCACTATTGGACCTTCACCTGTGCCGATGGTTGCTACAAAACCTGGAGAATGGGAAGGAGGGAGGGGCAGAGGGAGGAACTGAGAGTTGAACGGCACGTCTGTTTCCTCTGTGATGGGCGGCGCGACCATGTCGGCTCAAAGCGCCACTATGGGACCTGCGCCTGTGCCGATGGTTGCTACCACACCTGGAGTCACCAGAAAGGGAGTAGCAGGGGGGGCACAGGAGGCTTGAGGAGAGGCTGTGGAGACTTGAAGGGCACGTCTGTCTCTTCCGTGATGGGCAGAGCGTCCATGTCCGCTTGAAGTGCCACTATTGGACCTTCGCCTGTACCAATGGTTGCTACAACACCTGGAGTGGCACCAACAGGGAGGGCGGAGGCGGAAGGTAATGAGGGGAGTGGGGGTGGGAAAGGAAGAATTGGGGCTTGAACGGTACGTCTGTTTCTTCTGTGATGGGCAGAGCATCCATGTCCGCTCGCAGCGCCACTATGGGCTCTGCTCCGGTACCGATTGTTGCCACCACGCCTGGAGTCACCAGAAACGGCGTAGCAAGGGGGACACAGGAGGCTTGAGGAGAGCGTGCGGGGACTTGAAGAGCACGTTCGTTTTATCTCTGATGGGCAGCACATCTAAGTCAGCACAAACAGCCACTATCGGTCGGTGGTGCGCCAATTCCGATGGTTGCTACCATGCCTGGCGGGTGTAACAAGGGGGACATAGGAGGCTTGAAGAGAGCATTTCCTGTGTGTTAGGCAGCGCGTTTAAGTCAGCAAAAACAGCCACGATCGGTCGGTGGCCACATTTGAGAATTCTCAGAAGTCACTATCGGCCGGTGATGCGCCAGTTCTGTCGGCGTAGGGAGGGAAGGGTATTTCCTTGACGCCAGTGTCTCCTGCACCATGGCGCTCGCCCTAAGCTCAAACATACCCGCTATAAGCCTCACAATCTAACCGTTATAAGCATCTATCACCTGTGGTTCCTGCGAAATTCGACTGGAACGGTATTCCCAAGGACGCCAACGTCTCCTGCACCATGGCGCTCGTCCGGAATTCGCGGAACATGAGCTCCGGAATCTCGTGAAGCGCTCTCCTCAGACCCAGCACCATGGCCAATCCGTTGCTGCCACGTGCCTCTTCCAGAATCGCCTGGAACGTCACCCCGCCGCTGGCTGACACGTGTGTTGGGGCGAGCAGGAGGAGCAGGAGGAAGAAGAGGTGGAATAGGAGGAGTTGGAGGTAGGGGCGCGGAGGAGGAGGAGCCATGGCGGACCTGCAAGAAGCAACATGATAATAAGATAATATTAGTTGAAAAAAAAAAAAAACACGAATCGCCTGAAATCCGAAAGAAACTCGACTGAATCCGGCGATAAGAGGTGCATGCTAGATACGCGCTGGATTTCGAAAGCAATGCGGAAAGAACCAGACGAGAGCGTCGACATCATTTTTTCGTGCAGAGGCAACTCACACAGATCTAGGAACTTCCTATTTGAAAGAATATGCTAGCAAGATGTTGCAAGATGAAAGAATATTTGGCAAGATCCGGCTCTCGTAGCCGTTTTACGGGAAAGACGACGGGATTGTAACGAGAGCCAGACTGTAACGAGAACGACTGGATCAGGGCTTCACGCAGCGCGCTATCTACGATTGCATCTTCTAATGTAGCCCTTACGAGGCGCGTAGCTGTCACAGACACTAAACTGAAGTCGACATAAACGGAAACCAACCTCGTCGTCTTCACGGGTTTCGACGACCTAGAGCGAACAAGGAAGTCAGTCTCTCGCAGGAACGAATGACACCGTGAAACAATTTCTTCACCTGATGCAGAGAGGAAAGATGCTTGTCAGCACATAAACTCGCGCGTACACAAATCTAAGGGGTGAGTCAAATCATCAACACATTATACCACGCTCATATGTAGCTGGAACGCACTAAAACGTTTGAAACCCTTGAAGGCTAAAATCTGAAGGCCCGAATACAATGACTGGCATAGCAGCATAGAATTGAGCACAGGAGACAAGCGCATGACCTTGCAAAAATATCGCCGATGCCGGGGATCGAACCCGGATCTTCCGCGTGACAGGCGGAGATACTGACCATTATACTACATCGACATGTCTTTCGCATGCCTTATTATTTATTGTTTGCTTTTTCATGCCTAAGCCATCATGTTGATTTAAAGCTCGCGTCTCAAATTTCCTACTGTTTAACACTTGGTTGGGTTTGCCCCTATTTGATTGGGTAACGAATGACGAAATATGTGACGAGCGGGTGAAAAAAACACAGCGAACTCCCAAACAGGTTTGGCCAAAACAAACCAGGGTGTGCAGGTTTGGGTGGAAGACGAGCCTTGGGGGACAGGTTTGGCCCCGCTTACTGTCAGAGTTGAGAGTTGAGAGTCTCAAATTTCCGAGATTGTAAATGCTTGGTGTTCGCGGGGAAGTGTGCGACGCGATTTCCCAACCAACCTTACCAACCACCCCTTTCCTTGGTGTGCTGTGCGACAAACTCTGCTGTTACCGGATTCCAACCGTTTAACACTTGGTTGGATGTCATAAATATGAGACGCGAGCTTTAAGCGAGGCCTGGAATGCGGCCTGATGAATGAAGCAAGCCTTCATACCTGCATCGAAACAAGCCTTCCCCATCTCCCCTCCCCTCCCCTTCCTCCAACATCCTCGCTCTTGGTTCTCGCAACACCGTCATCCGTCACCCGCCATCACATACATATCAATGACGCATGACGGTGTTGCGAGAAAACATGTACATGTCCTTCTTTGCTTCTTGCTGCTACCGACATGGCAGGCACTCACCTCACCTCACCACCAAAGACACACTGCCAGCAACCACCTCAGGTGGAGGGAGGGAGGAGGGATGTGTGTGTGGCGCCGTGTGAATTGCATGAACAGCGGCAGGTAGGAGAAATCTACAGAAAATCACCGACCGAAAACCAATGACCGACTCGGGTACAAGGAATGTTCACCAACTGTACCCCGATTCCATCATATTTTAACCGTACTGAACCGCATATAAATTGGGTCGATTGGCGACGAATCGTCGCGAAGCAGCACAAACCAGTCGTGGGAGGCGTTTGTTTGCCTCACCTTGCCTTCCTCAACACGGGCGGTAGAACACTGTACAGTCACCTACTCACCCATTTCCAATCCTCTGAACCGTAGTTTGTATTACTCAAAACGTACTATACCTTTCTTGTCGGTCCCACCTGTCTCAGAAACACCCAACCCAACGACTCTTAGCCGGCCAAAAGCAAGAGGGACCTCCTGAACTAACTCCTCCTGACGTCTGGCTCCTAGCACAATCCCAGGTATTATACCTTTGTCCAGGCGACTCATAGCACACATCAAGGCGAGTCCTCCTGAGTAGAACGAATACAGTACCGTGGATCATTACCAGGTGTACATACTTCTCGCCTGTCGCCTCGCTTGCCGGTCTTAACTCCAATTAGTGTTCTCGAGGCGCCTCGAGATTCGCGTTCTGGCCTCGCCTGAGCCGCAGTAATCATATACTCTGTGAGGAATACTCGCTACTAACTGCCGTACGCACGCGCCACGGTCGGACGGAATCCATCTTCGCGTCATTCTCCGCATCAATCATCGCGTCATTCCCCGCGTCATCTCTCCCGTCGCATAGTGCCGTTCTCCGCCACACTTGCCCGAGTCGCGCCATCTGCACCTGAGTCGTAGCACCGTCCCTCCCGCCGTCAGCTCGCTCACTCGACCCCACAATAGTCTCCGCGCGTCATCCCTCACCATCGCGTAGTACCGTTTTCCACCGCAGAGACACCAGCCGCTACCACTCTGCCAGACGACACCTCGCTCGCACTTCCCTCGCTCGTTCGCACCTCGCTCGCACTCGTTCGTTCGCGACCACTTCTAATATTCTCTCTGCGATAATTCGACCGTCTCGTTCCGCAGATCTCCGCGCCAGTTCGGACAGTTCCGCCGTTCCGCCCGTTCCTCCAGTACCGCAAGTTCCGCGAATTTCGTCAGTTCCGCCATCCCGCGCGCCATGCACGGGCGGCGGCTTCCGCCGGCGCTACACAGTCCCCGCGGCCGCCAATCACGACACGTCCTCGCAGCCGCTGCGCCGCTCGTTTCGCTCATTCTACTAGCGCTCGCGTCGTTCGGGGGATTCGGATCGGTGCAAGTCGGTGCTACGCCGTTCAGCGTGTATGACTCGTACCAGCCGCCGTGCCCCTTCCTGCCCGACCCTCCCCCGCAAGGTGCGGCCCATCCCTTCCCCGCAAGGTACGGCCCATCCCTTCCCCGCAAGGTGCGGCCCATCCCTTCCCCGCAAGGTAAGAACCAATACTCCGCCCTCTCCCCCTCCCTCCCTCACCACCCCCACCCCCCACCCCCCCCCCGCCCCCCTTCCCCTTGCGGTACAATCCATTTCCCTTCCCCTTCCCCCACGGTACAATCCCGTCCGCGCGGCACAACCCCCCCCCCCCCCCCCCCCCCCCACGCGCCACGCGGCGGCGCACCGCAAGGCGCGATTCGCGCCGCCCCGCACAGTCCGCTCCGCGCAGAAGGCATGGAAGTAATATCAAGGAACCCACAATGCCTAAGCTTTTAAGAACTGAGTGGGGGGATCGCTCATGCGTGGGGGGGGATCTCTCCCGCCTCCTTGCCGTCCCTTCAACCTCCTTGCCCCTGTTTCTCCGCCCCGCCGTTCCCGCTCCCACCCGGAACCGGTAACCGGTTCTCACTATAACACTCCCCGCCGTTGCCCCTGTCTCTCCACCTGGCATTCCCTCCGCCCCGCCGTTCCCTCTCCCTTCTCATACACCGCCCACCCGCATCCTTCCCCCATCTACCTCTACCCAATCCACCCCTCCCCATCCATCCTCTCCCCAACCCCTTCCTTCCCCTCCCTTTCCTCCCCTCCCCTTCCTACCTTCCCTCCCCTCCTCCCCTCCCCTCCTCCCGTCCCCTCCCCTTCCTTCCTTCCCTCCCCTCCTCCCCTCCCCTTCCATCCTATCTCCGTTCTACCTTTGCCAGGCTGGAAGCGGTGGAGCGACCCTGCCACGTGGACTAATAGTGGCAGCTCCGTGATTCCCGGAGTGAAGGCCACGGGGGGCGAGTGGGTGGATGTGACTATACCGTGTGGGACGGCCGTGCTGCTGGATGTGCCTCTAGTGAGCCTCAACAGGCTCGTGATTAAAGGCTGGCTCAGGTACGGTTTATATGTGTGTGCATGTTTATAGATAGATGTGTACATATGAGCATAGATGTGTACATATGAGCATAGATGTGTACATATGAGCATAGATGTGTACATATGAGCATAGATGTGTACATATGAGCATAGATGTGTACATATGAGCATAGATGTGTACATATGAGCATAGATGTGTACATATGAGCATAGATGTGTACATATGAGCATAGATGTGTACATATGAGCATAGATGTGTACATATGAGCATAGATGTGTACATATGAGCATAGATGTGTACATATGAGCATAGATGTGTACATATGAGCATAGATGTGTATATGCGTGTGCTGCTGGGTGTGCCTCTAGTGAGCCTCAACAGGCTCATAGTCAAGGGATGGCTCAGGTACGGTGCTGCGTGCTCAGGCACGGACTATATATGGTTATGTGTGTGTGTGTGTGTGTGTGTGTGTGCGCGCGCGCGCGCCCAAGGCCGCTCTCCCTCGGCTCCTCCTCAACGCCTTTCCCTTCTCCGCTCACTCGCAAGCAACCCACTCCTCTCTCTTCCATCTCTCTTCCATCTCTCTGCACCCTTCCCTCCCTGCGATGAAATGCCATGCCACCAGGATCCAGGATTCTCCATCCCTTCCAAGGGTGGAGGTGCAAGCAGCCTTCATCATCGTTCAAGGCTGTCTCTCCGCCGGATCCACTGCAACTCCCTTCCCTTCTCCCCTCTCCCCCTCCCTCCCATCACCACGGTTCAGGATTCTCCATCCCTTCCAAGATTGGAGGTGCAAGCAGCCTTCATCATTGTTGAAGGCCGTCTCTCAGTCGGCACCTCCTCAACGCCCTTCCCTTCTCTCCCCACCCTGCTGCCCTCCCCTTCCTGCTCGGTTCTTTCTTCCCCTGTGCGTGTGTGCATGCCACCAGGGTCCTCGACTCACCATCTCTCCCAAGGGTGGAGGTGCAAGCAGCCTTCATCATTGTTGAAGGCCGTCTCTCAGTCGGCACCTCCTCAACGCCCTTCCCTTCTCTCCCCACCCTGCTGCCCTCCCCTTCCTGCTCGGTTCTTTCTTCCCCTGTGCGTGTGTGCACGCCACCAGGGTCCTCGACTCACCATCTCTCCCAAGGGTGGAGGTGCAAGCAGCCTTCATCATTGTTGAAGGCCGACTCTCAGTCGGCACCTCCTCAACGCCCTTCCCTTCTCTCCCCACCCTGCTGCCCTCCCCTTCCTGCTCGGTTCTTTCTTCCCCTGTGCGTGTGTGCATGCCACCAGGGTCCTCGACTCACCATCTCTCCCAAGGGTGGAGGTGCAAGCAGCCTTCATCATTGTTGAAGGCCGACTCTCAGTCGGCACCTCCTCAACGCCCTTCCCTTCTCTCCCCACCCTGCTGCCCTCCCCTTCCTGCTCGGTTCTTTCTTCCCCTGTGCGTGTGTGCATGCCACCAGGGTCCTCGACTCACCATCTCTCCCAAGGGTGGAGGTGCAAGCAGCCTTCATCATTGTTGAAGGCCGACTCTCAGTCGGCACCTCCTCAACGCCCTTCCCTTCTCTCCCCACCCTGCTGCCCTCCCCTTCCTGCTCGGTTCTTTCTTCCCCTGTGCGTGTGTGCATGCCACCAGGGTCCTCGACTCACCATCTCTCCCAAGGGTGGAGGTGCAAGCAGCCTTCATCATTGTTGAAGAAGGCCGTCTCTCAGTCGGCACCTCCTCAACGCCCTTCCCTTCTCTCCCCACCCTGCTGCCCTCCCCTCCCTGCTCGGTTCTTTCTTCCCCTGTGCGTGTGTGCATGCCACCAGGGTCCTCGACTCACCATCTCTCCCAAGGGTGGAGGTGCAAGCAGCCTTCATCATTGTTGAAGGCCGTCTCTCAGTCGGCACCTCCTCAACGCCCTTCCCTTCTCTCCCCACCCTGCTGCCCTCCCCTTCCTGCTCGGTTCTTTCTTCCCCTGTGCGTGTGTGCATGCCACCAGGGTCCTCGACTCACCATCTCTCCCAAGGGTGGAGGTGCAAGCAGCCTTCATCATTGTTGAAGGCCGTCTCTCAGTCGGCACCTCCTCAACGCCCTTCCCTTCTCTCCCCACCCTGCTGCCCTCCCCTTCCTGCTCGGTTCTTTCTTCCCCTGTGCGTGTGTGCATGCCACCAGGGTCCTCGACTCACCATCTCTCCCAAGGGTGGAGGTGCAAGCAGCCTTCATCATTGTTGAAGGCCGTCTCTCAGTCGGCACCTCCTCAACGCCCTTCCCTTCTCTCCCCACCCTGCTGCCCTCCCCTTCCTGCTCGGTTCTTTCTTCCCCTGTGCGTGTGTGCATGCCACCAGGGTCCTCGACTCACCATCTCTCCCAAGGGTGGAGGTGCAAGCAGCCTTCATCATTGTTGAAGGCCGTCTCTCAGTCGGCACCTCCTCAACGCCCTTCCCTTCTCTCCCCACCCTGCTGCCCTCCCCTTCCTGCTCGGTTCTTTCTTCCCCTGTGCGTGTGTGCATGCCACCAGGGTCCTCGACTCACCATCTCTCCCAAGGGTGGAGGTGCAAGCAGCCTTCATCATTGTTGAAGGCCGACTCTCAGTCGGCACCTCCTCAACGCCCTTCCCTTCTCTCCCCACCCTGCTGCCCTCCCCTTCCTGCTCGGTTCTTTCTTCCCCTGTGCGTGTGTGCATGCCACCAGGGTCCTCGACTCACCATCTCTCCCAAGGGTGGAGGTGCAAGCAGCCTTCATCATTGTTGAAGGCCGTCTCTCAGTCGGCACCTCCTCAACGCCCTTCCCTTCTCTCCCCACCCTGCTGCCCTCCCCTTCCTGCTCGGTTCTTTCTTCCCCTGTGCGTGTGTGCATGCCACCAGGGTCCTCGACTCACCATCTCTCCCAAGGGTGGAGGTGCAAGCAGCCTTCATCATTGTTGAAGAAGGCCGTCTCTCAGTCGGCACCTCCTCAACGCCCTTCCCTTCTCTCCCCACCCTGCTGCCCTCCCCTCCCTGCTCGGTTCTTTCTTCCCCTGTGCGTGTGTGCATGCCACCAGGGTCCTCGACTCACCATCTCTCCCAAGGGTGGAGGTGCAAGCAGCCTTCATCATTGTTGAAGGCCGTCTCTCAGTCGGCACCTCCTCAACGCCCTTCCCTTCTCTCCCCACCCTGCTGCCCTCCCCTTCCTGCTCGGTTCTTTCTTCCCCTGTGCGTGTGTGCATGCCACCAGGGTCCTCGACTCACCATCTCTCCCAAGGGTGGAGGTGCAAGCAGCCTTCATCATTGTTGAAGGCCGTCTCTCAGTCGGCACCTCCTCAACGCCCTTCCCTTCTCTCCCCACCCTGCTGCCCTCCCCTTCCTGCTCGGTTCTTTCTTCCCCTGTGCGTGTGTGCATGCCACCAGGGTCCTCGACTCACCATCTCTCCCAAGGGTGGAGGTGCAAGCAGCCTTCATCATTGTTGAAGGCCGTCTCTCAGTCGGCACCTCCTCAACGCCCTTCCCTTCTCTCCCCACCCTGCTGCCCTCCCCTTCCTGCTCGGTTCTTTCTTCCCCTGTGCGTGTGTGCATGCCACCAGGGTCCTCGACTCACCATCTCTCCCAAGGGTGGAGGTGAAAGCAGCCTTCATCATTGTTGAAGGCCGTCTCTCAGTCGGCACCTCCTCAACGCCCTTCCCTTCTCTCCCCACCCTGCTGCCCTCCCCTTCCTGCTCGGTTCTTTCTTCCCCTGTGCGTGTGTGCATGCCACTAGGGTCCTCGACTCACCATCTCTCCCAAGGGTGGAGGTGCAAGCAGCCTTCATCATTGTTGAAGGCCGACTCTCAGTCGGCACCTCCTCAACGCCCTTCCCTTCTCTCCCCACCCTGCTGCCCTCCCCTTCCTGCTCGGTTCTTTCTTCCCCTGTGCGTGTGTGCATGCCACCAGGGTCCTCGACTCACCATCTCTCCCAAGGGTGGAGGTGCAAGCAGCCTTCATCATTGTTGAAGAAGGCCGTCTCTCAGTCGGCACCTCCTCAACGCCCTTCCCTTCTCTCCCCACCCTGCTGCCCTCCCCTCCCTGCTCGGTTCTTTCTTCCCCTGTGCGTGTGTGCATGCCACCAGGGTCCTCGACTCACCATCTCTCCCAAGGGTGGAGGTGCAAGCAGCCTTCATCATTGTTGAAGGCCGTCTCTCAGTCGGCACCTCCTCAACGCCCTTCCCTTCTCTCCCCACCCTGCTGCCCTCCCCTTCCTGCTCGGTTCTTTCTTCCCCTGTGCGTGTGTGCATGCCACCAGGGTCCTCGACTCACCATCTCTCCCAAGGGTGGAGGTGCAAGCAGCCTTCATCATCGTTGAAGGCCGTCTCTCAGTCGGCACCTCCTCAACGCCCTTCCCTTCTCTCCCCACCCTGCTGCCCTCCCCTTCCTGCTCGGTTCTTTCTTCCCCTGTGCTTGTGTGCATGCCACCAGGGTCCTCGACTCACCATCTCTCCCAAGGGTGGAGGTGCAAGCAGCCTTCATCATTGTTGAAGGCCGTCTCTCAGTCGGCACCTCCTCAACGCCCTTCCCTTCTCTCCCCACCCTGCTGCCCTCCCCTTCCTGCTCGGTTCTTTCTTCCCCTGTGCGTGTGTGCATGCCACCAGGGTCCTCGACTCACCATCTCTCCCAAGGGTGGAGGTGCAAGCAGCCTTCATCATTGTTGAAGAAGGCCGTCTCTCAGTCGGCACCTCCTCAACGCCCTTCCCTTCTCTCCCCACCCTGCTGCCCTCCCCTCCCTGCTCGTTTCTTTCTTCCCCTGTGCGTGTGTGCATGCCACCAGGGTCCTCGACTCACCATCTCTCCCAAGGGTGGAGGTGCAAGCAGCCTTCATCATTGTTGAAGGCCGTCTCTCAGTCGGCACCTCCTCAACGCCCTTCCCTTCTCTCCCCACCCTGCTGCCCTCCCCTTCCTGCTCGGTTCTTTCTTCCCCTGTGCGTGTGTGCATGCCACCAGGGTCCTCGACTCACCATCTCTCCCAAGGGTGGAGGTGCAAGCAGCCTTCATCATTGTTGAAGGCCGTCTCTCAGTCGGCACCTCCTCAACGCCCTTCCCTTCTCTCCCCACCCTGCTGCCCTCCCCTTCCTGCTCGGTTCTTTCTTCCCCTGTGCGTGTGTGCATGCCACCAGGGTCCTCGACTCACCATCTCTCCCAAGGGTGGAGGTGCAAGCAGCCTTCATCATTGTTGAAGGCCGTCTCTCAGTCGGCACCTCCTCAACGCCCTTCCCTTCTCTCCCCACCCTGCTGCCCTCCCCTTCCTGCTCGGTTCTTTCTTCCCCTGTGCGTGTGTGCATGCCACCAGGGTCCTCGACTCACCATCTCTCCCAAGGGTGGAGGTGCAAGCAGCCTTCATCATTGTTGAAGGCCGTCTCTCAGTCGGCACCTCCTCAACGCCCTTCCCTTCTCTCCCCACCCTGCTGCCCTCCCCTTCCTGCTCGGTTCTTTCTTCCCCTGTGCGTGTGTGCATGCCACCAGGGTCCTCGACTCACCATCTCTCCCAAGGGTGGAGGTGCAAGCAGCCTTCATCATTGTTGAAGGCCGACTCTCAGTCGGCACCTCCTCAACGCCCTTCCCTTCTCTCCCCACCCTGCTGCCCTCCCCTTCCTGCTCGGTTCTTTCTTCCCCTGTGCGTGTGTGCATGCCACCAGGGTCCTCGACTCACCATCTCTCCCAAGGGTGGAGGTGCAAGCAGCCTTCATCATTGTTGAAGGCCGTCTCTCAGTCGGCACCTCCTCAACGCCCTTCCCTTCTCTCCCCACCCTGCTGCCCTCCCCTCCCTGCTCGGTTCTTTCTTCTCCTGTGCGTGTGTGCATGCCACCAGGGTCCTCGACTCACCATCTCTCCCAAGGGTGGAGGTGCAAGCAGCCTTCATCATTGTTGAAGGCCGTCTCTCAGTCGGCACCTCCTCAACGCCCTTCCCTTCTCTCCCCACCCTGCTGCCCTCCCCTTCCTGCTCGGTTCTTTCTTCCCCTGTGCGTGTGTGCATGCCACCAGGGTCCTCGACTCACCATCTCTCCCAAGGGTGGAGGTGCAAGCAGCCTTCATCATCGTTGAAGGCCGTCTCTCAGTCGGCACCTCCTCAACGCCCTTCCCTTCTCTCCCCACCCTGCTGCCCTCCCCTTCCTGCTCGGTTCTTTCTTCCCCTGTGCGTGTGTGCATGCCACCAGGGTCCTCGACTCACCATCTCTCCCAAGGGTGGAGGTGCAAGCAGCCTTCATCATTGTTGAAGGCCGTCTCTCAGTCGGCACCTCCTCAACGCCCTTCCCTTCTCTCCCCACCCTGCTGCCCTCCCCTTCCTGCTCGGTTCTTTCTTCCCCTGTGCGTGTGTGCATGCCACCAGGGTCCTCGACTCACCATCTCTCCCAAGGGTGGAGGTGCAAGCAGCCTTCATCATTGTTGAAGGCCGTCTCTCAGTCGGCACCTCCTCAACGCCCTTCCCTTCTCTCCCCACCCTGCTGCCCTCCCCTTCCTGCTCGGTTCTTTCTTCCCCTGTGCGTGTGTGCATGCCACCAGGGTCCTCGACTCACCATCTCTCCCAAGGGTGGAGGTGCAAGCAGCCTTCATCATTGTTGAAGGCCGTCTCTCAGTCGGCACCTCCTCAACGCCCTTCCCTTCTCTCCCCACCCTGCTGCCCTCCCCTTCCTGCTCGGTTCTTTCTTCCCCTGTGCGTGTGTGCATGCCACCAGGGTCCTCGACTCACCATCTCTCCCAAGGGTGGAGGTGCAAGCAGCCTTCATCATTGTTGAAGGCCGTCTCTCAGTCGGCACCTCCTCAACGCCCTTCCCTTCTCTCCCCACCCTGCTGCCCTCCCCTTCCTGCTCGGTTCTTTCTTCCCCTGTGCGTGTGTGCATGCCATTAGGGTCCTCGACTCACCATCTCTCCCAAGGGTGGAGGTGCAAGCAGCCTTCATCATTGTTGAAGGCCGTCTCTCAGTCGGCACCTCCTCAACGCCCTTCCCTTCTCTCCCCACCCTGCTGCCCTCCCCTTCCTGCTCGGTTCTTTCTTCCCCTGTGCGTGTGTGCATGCCACCAGGGTCCTCGACTCACCATCTCTCCCAAGGGTGGAGGTGCAAGCAGCCTTCATCATTGTTGAAGGCCGTCTCTCAGTCGGCACCTCCTCAACGCCCTTCCCTTCTCTCCCCACCCTGCTGCCCTCCCCTTCCTGCTCGGTTCTTTCTTCCCCTGTGCGTGTGTGCATGCCACCAGGGTCCTCGACTCACCATCTCTCCCAAGGGTGGAGGTGCAAGCAGCCTTCATCATTGTTGAAGGCCGTCTCTCAGTCGGCACCTCCTCAACGCCCTTCCCTTCTCTCCCCACCCTGCTGCCCTCCCCTTCCTGCTCGGTTCTTTCTTCCCCTGTGCGTGTGTGCATGCCACCAGGGTCCTCGACTCACCATCTCTCCCAAGGGTGGAGGTGCAAGCAGCCTTCATCATTGTTGAAGGCCGTCTCTCAGTCGGCACCTCCTCAACGCCCTTCCCTTCTCTCCCCACCCTGCTGCCCTCCCCTTCCTGCTCGGTTCTTTCTTCCCCTGTGCGTGTGTGCATGCCACCAGGGTCCTCGACTCACCATCTCTCCCAAGGGTGGAGGTGCAAGCAGCCTTCATCATTGTTGAAGGCCGACTCTCAGTCGGCACCTCCTCAACGCCCTTCCCTTCTCTCCCCACCCTGCTGCCCTCCCCTTCCTGCTCGGTTCTTTCTTCCCCTGTGCGTGTGTGGATGCCACCAGGGTCCTCGACTCACCATCTCTCCCAAGGGTGGAGGTGCAAGCAGCCTTCATCATTGTTGAAGAAGGCCGTCTCTCAGTCGGCACCTCCTCAACGCCCTTCCCTTCTCTCCCCACCCTGCTGCCCTCCCCTTCCTGCTCGGTTCTTTCTTCCCCTGTGCGTGTGTGCATGCCACCAGGGTCCTCGACTCACCATCTCTCCCAAGGGTGGAGGTGCAAGCAGCCTTCATCATTGTTGAAGGCCGTCTCTCAGTCGGCACCTCCTCAACGCCCTTCCCTTCTCTCCCCACCCTGCTGCCCTCCCCTTCCTGCTCGGTTCTTTCTTCCCCTGTGCGTGTGTGCATGCCACCAGGGTCCTCGACTCACCATCTCTCCCAAGGGTGGAGGTGCAAGCAGCCTTCATCATTGTTGAAGGCCGTCTCTCAGTCGGCACCTCCTCAACGCCCTTCCCTTCTCTCCCCACCCTGCTGCCCTCCCCTTCCTGCTCGGTTCTTTCTTCCCCTGTGCGTGTGTGCATGCCACCAGGGTCCTCGACTCACCATCTCTCCCAAGGGTGGAGGTGCAAGCAGCCTTCATCATTGTTGAAGGCCGTCTCTCAGTCGGCACCTCCTCAACGCCCTTCCCTTCTCTCCCCACCCTGCTGCCCTCCCCTTCCTGCTCGGTTCTTTCTTCCCCTGTGCGTGTGTGCATGCCACCAGGGTCCTCGACTCACCATCTCTCCCAAGGGTGGAGGTGCAAGCAGCCTTCATCATTGTTGAAGGCCGTCTCTCAGTCGGCACCTCCTCAACGCCCTTCCCTTCTCTCCCCACCCTGCTGCCCTCCCCTTCCTGCTCGGTTCTTTCTTCCCCTGTGCGTGTGTGCATGCCATTAGGGTCCTCGACTCACCATCTCTCCCAAGGGTGGAGGTGCAAGCAGCTTTCATCATTGTTGAAGGCCGTCTCTCAGTCGGCACCTCCTCAACGCCCTTCCCTTCTCTCCCCACCCTGCTGCCCTCCCCTTCCTGCTCGGTTCTTTCTTCCCCTGTGCGTGTGTGCATGCCACCAGGGTCCTCGACTCACCATCTCTCCCAAGGGTGGAGGTGCAAGCAGCCTTCATCATTGTTGACGGCCGTCTCTCAGTCGGCACCTCCTCAACGCCCTTCCCTTCTCTCCCCACCCTGCTGCCCTCCCCTTCCTGCTCGGTTCTTTCTTCCCCTGTGCGTGTGTGCATGCCACCAGGGTCCTCGACTCACCATCTCTCCCAAGGGTGGAGGTGCAAGCAGCCTTCATCATTGTTGAAGGCCGTCTCTCAGTCGGCACCTCCTCAACGCCCTTCCCTTCTCTCCCCACCCTGCTGCCCTCCCCTTCCTGCTCGGTTCTTTCTTCCCCTGTGCGTGTGTGCATGCCACCAGGGTCCTCGACTCACCATCTCTCCCAAGGGTGGAGGTGCAAGCAGCCTTCATCATTGTTGAAGGCCGTCTCTCAGTCGGCACCTCCTCAACGCCCTTCCCTTCTCTCCCCACCCTGCTGCCCTCCCCTTCCTGCTCGGTTCTTTCTTCCCCTGTGCGTGTGTGCATGCCACCAGGGTCCTCGACTCACCATCTCTCCCAAGGGTGGAGGTGCAAGCAGCCTTCATCATTGTTGAAGGCCGACTCTCAGTCGGCACCTCCTCAACGCCCTTCCCTTCTCTCCCCACCCTGCTGCCCTCCCCTTCCTGCTCGGTTCTTTCTTCCCCTGTGCGTGTGTGCATGCCACCAGGGTCCTCGACTCACCATCTCTCCCAAGGGTGGAGGTGCAAGCAGCCTTCATCATTGTTGAAGAAGGCCGTCTCTCAGTCGGCACCTCCTCAACGCCCTTCCCTTCTCTCCCCACCCTGCTGCCCTCCCCTTCCTGCTCGGTTCTTTCTTCCCCTGTGCGTGTGTGCATGCCACCAGGGTCCTCGACTCACCATCTCTCCCAAGGGTGGAGGTGCAAGCAGCCTTCATCATTGTTCAAGGCCGTCTCTCTGCCGGATCCACTGCAACTCCCTTCAGCCGCCTCGCTCTCTTCACCCTCCTCCCCTCCCCCTCTCGCGCCAACTACACGCTCACCGACCTTGCACCAGCCGACCCCCTGAACCCGAGGAACCTGGGTCACAAGGCTTTTATCGTGGTACGTTGCTCTCCTCCTCCCTTTCTTGTGCGATGTTGTGACCCCTCCCTTTCTCTCCTTCTCTCTCCTTGTGGTACGGCTGCTCCCCCTCCCTTTCTCCCTTTTCCCTGCACCCGCCTCGCTCTCTTCACCCTCCTTCCCTCCCCCTCTCGCGCCAACTACACTCTCACCGACCTTGCTCCAGCCGACCCTTTAACCCCCGCAACCTTGGCACCGCTGTGTCTCCCAATATCTCCCCCGTGGAAAGGACAGTGTCTCCTGGGAAACAAATTCCAGGTGGTGGACGGCGATGTCACTCAGTGGCCTGTATTTGTTCCTCTCTATCCTCTGTCCTCTCTCCCTGCTCCAGGTGGGAGGCGCCGTGGACCTACATGGCATGCCCAGCTCCTCCTCTGACCCAGCATGGGTGCGCCAGGCAAGGACTGTGGCACCCGGGGGATAAGTTCCTGGTGGTGGACGGCGATGTTACTCAGTGCTGGTATCTGTTCCTCTCTGTCCTCTGTCCTCTCTATCCTCTGTCCTCCCTCTCTTCTACAGGTGGGTGGGAGGCGCCGTGGACTTGCATGGCATGCCCGGCTCCTCCTCTGCCCAGCATGGGTGCGCCTGGCAAGGACAGTGGCTCTCGGGGATAAATTCCTGGTGGTGGATGGCGATGGGGATGGGGATGTCACTTACTGGCCTCTGTTTGTGCCTCCCTCTCTCTCACTCTGCTACAGGTGGGAGGCGCAGTGGACCTACATGGCATGCCCGGCGCCTCCTCTGCTCCTGCATGGGTGCGCCTGGCAAGGACAGTGGCTCCCGGGGATAAGTTTGTGGTGGTGGATGGTGATGTCACTCAGTGGCCGGTCGGCGGCACTGTAGCGGTTGCATCCACTAGTGCGAATATGAACGAGGCAGAGACCGGGGTGATTACTTATGGTGAGTAGGATTGTAGCGAGTGGGATAGTAGCGAGTGTGTGTCACTTAGTGGGCGTGATTATAGCAAGTGTGGTTTTAGCAAGTGTGTTTATAATTGTGTCCACTAGTGCAAACATGAGCGAGGGGGAGACGGGTGCGATTTTAGTGCGGTAATGAGCATGATTATTTTGAAGTAGTAGTGAGTGATTCTTCCCATTTATGCGGTGGTCCCAGTGTCTACATTCTGGCAGGGCCCCAGTCATTTATATTGTTTTTCCTCCACTTTACTCCCCCCTTTACAATCACAGTCGCTCCCATGCCTTCGGGGGGGGGCTTCTATGTCGGATTGGCCAAGCCTCTTAGGTTCCGCCATGAGGGTAATCTTCAAGGCACCCCTGATGGAGTCGGGGGAACGGTGGATATTCGAGGGGAAGTTGCCCTTTTGGACCGGAATATCATCATCCGGGGGTTCAAGGAGAAAGCACCCTACGACACAGATGGTAAGCAAGCATTCTGAAGTAAGCGGATGCATTGATTGGTTCTCTTCTCGAGCTTTGATAGATTCTCTAGTATTGACAAGCTTTAAAGCTTTCTTCCCTGCTTTGTTTGTTTTGACTGAGTCGTTTTTTAGTGAACTCTGAAACTTTTAAAGACAAGTTTTGAGACGTCTCAAAATTTAGACTGCAGCTCGCCTAAACAAAGCTTCTATGGCTGACGTTTTTTAGTGAACTGTGAACTGTGAGCTTCAAAAGACAAGAACACTCGTGAGACGTCCGCTGCATTTGATCCGAATCCCTCCCTTCCCCCCCTTTTTTTACAGGCGGTCACTTCATGGTCTTTATAACACGCACACCACAATTCATAGAGGGGGTTCGGTTCCTGGGCCGGGGCAACCAGGGCACGCTGCTGGGGCGTTGCCCTCACTTCTCTTCCTTTGTGCCCCATTAACATTCCCTCCTGCATCCCCGTCACTTCATGGTGTTTATAACGCGCACACCACAATTCATAGAGGGGGTTCGGTTCCTGGGCCTGGGCAACCAAGGCGTGCTGCTGGGGTGTTACCCACTGCATTTCCATCATCCCTTCTCTTGCTTATCATTCCCCTCTGTCCCTTCCATCCCCTCTGTCCCTTCCATCCCCTCTTCCCCTTCCATCCCCTCTTCCAAGGCGTGCTGGGGCGCGACCCTCACTTCCCTCCTCCTTCCCTCCCTTTGTCCCGCTTTGCCATTCCCCCCTACATGCACCCCCTTCATCCCACAGGCGGTCACTTCATGGTCTTTATGACAAAAACGCCTCAATTCATCGAGGGGGTTCAGTTCCTGGGCCTGGGCAACCAGGGCACGCTGGGACGCTACCCCCTGCACTTCCACATCTGTGGAGACAACAACCAGGCGCACGTGGTCAGGAAGAACGTGATTGCTGCGAGCCAGCAGGTGTGTGGACGAGGGTCTAGGCTTTCAAAGGTTATCAGTGGTAGTAACCACCTCAGGGCGTGTTGGGGTGTTACCCGCTGCATTTCCACATCTGTGGCGACAACAACCAGGCGCACGTGGTGAGGAAGAACGGGATTGCTGCGAGCCAGCAGGTACTTTATGAAAGCCTAGTTCAGGGGTTACCAGCAGGGATATGCCAGCAGGGGTTCCCCTATGCCCCTTCCCTTCCACTGATTTCCTTTGCAGCGTTGTGTGGTTGTCCATGCCACCTCGGATCTGACGATCGAAGAGAACGTGGCATACGAGGCAAAGGGGGAACTGCTTGACTCGTTCGTGTCTCCCTTACCCGCTCTTGTTCCCCCCTTCCACTGATTTCCTTTTCAGCGTTGTGTGGTTGTCCATGCCACCTCGGATCTGACGATTGAAGAAAACGTGACGTATGAGACCAAGGGGTACTGCTGCTTGACTCTTCCCCCCTCTATCCCTGTCGTCTCCCTCCCCTACCACTCTCTTGCCTGCTGTTTACAGCGCTGTGTGGTCATCCATGCCACCTCCGATGTGACGATCGAGGAGAAGGTTGCATTTGAAACGAAGGCGCACTGCTGCTTGACTCTTCCCCCCTCCTATCCCTGTCGTCTCCCTCCCCCACCACTCTCTTGCCTGCTGTTTACAGCGCTGTGTGGTCATCCATGCCACCTCGGATGTGACTATAGAGGAGAACGTGGCGTATGAGACCAAGGGGCACTGCTTTATAACGGAGGAGGGCAGCGAGTATAGCAACGTGTTCAAACGCAATCTGGGGATCAACATCCGAGGAGGTGAGGGGGAAGAGGTGTGGTGCGGTTGAGAGGAGTGAGACTGGCAGCGAGTATAGCAACGTGTTCAAACGCTACCTGGGGATCAACATCCGAGGAGGTGAGGGGGAAGAGGTGTGGTGCGGTTGAGAGGAGTGAGACTGGCAGCGAGTATAGCAACGTGTTCAAACGCAACCTGGGGATCAACATCCGAGGAGGTGAGGGGGAAGAGGTGTGGTGTGGTTGAGAGGAGTGAGACTGGCAGCGAGTATAGCAACGTGTTCAAACGCTACCTGGGGATCAACATCCGAGGAGGTGAGGGGGAAGAGGTGTGGTGCGGTTGAGAGGAGTGAGACTGGCAGCGAGTATAGCAACGTGTTCAAACGCAACCTGGGGATCAACATCCGAGGAGGTGAGGGGGAAGAGGTGTGGTGCGGTTGAGAGGAGTGAGACTGGCAGCGAGTATAGCAACGTGTTCAAACGCTACCTGGGGATCAACATCCGAGGAGGTGAGGGGGAAGAGGTGTGGTGCGGTTGAGAGGAGTGAGACTGGCAGCGAGTATAGCAACGTGTTCAAACGCAACCTGGGGATCAACATCCGAGGAGGTGAGGGGGAAGAGGTGTGGTGCGGTTGAGAGGAGTGAGACTGGCAGCGAGTATAGCAACGTGTTCAAACGCTACCTGGGGATCAACATCCGAGGAGGTGAGGGGGAAGAGGAGGAGCAGGGATAGCAGCAGGGGTTGGCAGTAGCAGTCAGGAGTAGCAGCAGCGTGAGAAGAGCAGGAGGTGGGTGGGGCGTGCGGGAGCGAGGGGCAGTGTCTCTTGAGACCACCAAGGGGCCCTGCTTCTTGACAGTAGAGGGCAGCGAGTATAGCAACGTGTTGAAACGCAACCTGAGCATCAACATTCGAGGAGGTGAGGGGGAGTGGCGTGGTGCGGTTGAGAGGAGTGTTGCGTGGTTGAGGTGAGATGAGTGGGAACGGTAACAGCAGGGCTAGCAGCAAGAGCAGATGGTGGGGCGTATGAGATCAAGGGGCGTATGAGACAAAGGGGCCCTGCTTCTTGACAGAGGAGGGCAGCGAGTATAGCAACGTGTTCAAACGCTACCTGGGGATCAACATCCGCGGAGGTGAGGTGGAGTGTGGTGCGGTTGAGAGTAGGTGAGGCGCGGTTGAGGTGAGGAGGAGCAGTAACAGGGGCAGCGGCATATAAGACAAGGGATGCACTGCTTTATAACGGAGGAGGGCAGCGAGTATAACAACGTGTTCAAACGCTACCCGGGGATCAACATTCGCGGAGGTGAGGGGTGGTGGGGCTGGCTGGCTGGGATCACGACGAGTGTAACGGGGAGAGATGGAAGGTGGGAAGGTGGGCCGTATGAGAGCAAGGGGCCCTGATTTCTTCCTGACAGAGGAGAGCAGCGAGTATAACAACGTGTTCGCACGCAAGGAAATTCCCCCTGAAACTTCCGACAGATTGGACAGGCAAACAGACAACCAGGCCATCCCGTTCTGGATGGCCAGCAACAGCGCCTTACACCCTTCCCCTCCGTGTCCTCCCCTTTCCTTCCCTCCCCTTCCTCCACCAGTGCACAAGGTGATCTCCCCCGAATCCTCAGACCGATTGGACAGGCAGACAGACAACCAGGCCATCCCGTTCTGGGTGGCCAGCAGTGCCGTACAATCTTTCCCTCAGTGCTCCCTTTTCCTCCCCTCCCACTCCACCAGTTCGCAAGGTGATTCCCCCTGAAATATCGGACCGCCTGGACAGGCAGACGGACAACCAGGCCACCACGTTCTGGATGACCAGCCCTCATTCTCTCCCTCATTCTCCCCCACTGCCCCCCTTCCTTCTTACCCCTCATTCCCCTCCACTCCACACCACACCACCAGTTCGCAAGGTGATCCCCCCTGAAACTTCCAATCGACTGGACAGGCAGACGGACAACCAGGCCACCACGTTCTGGATGACCAGCCCTCATTCTCTCCCTCATTCTCCCCCACTGCCCCCCTTCCTTCTTACCCCTCATTCCCCTCCACTCCACACCATACCACCAGTACGCAAGGTGATCCCCCCTGAAACTTCCAATCGACTGGACAGGCAGACGGACAACCAGGCCACCACGTTCTGGATGACCATCCCTGACTCTCTCCCCTTACATCTCCTCCCTCTCCCTTCCCTATCCCCCCCCCTCCCTCCTTCTCCACCAGTACGCAAGGTGATCCCTCCCGAGACTTCCGATCGACTGGACAGGCAGACGGACAACCAGGCCACCACGTTCTGGATGGCCAGCCCTCGGAATGATTTAATCGGAAACGTGGCGGCTGGATGTGACAATACAGGGTGGGTGGGGGGTGGGTGTGACTATATGAGAAGCTGGACATGTGGGTGGGTGGGTGGGACAATACAGGGTGGGTCGGTGGGGGTGTGAGTGTACAGGGAGACAGGCAGACGGACAACCAGGCCACCACGTTCCGGATGGCCAGCCCTCGCAACGACCTGATTGGCAACGTGGCGGCTGGATGTGACAATACCGGGTGGGTAATTTGTGACCGTACAGGGTGGGCGGGTGTGACTGTATGGGGAAGCAGGCAGACGGACAACCAGGCCACCACCTTCTGGATGGCCAGCCCTCGCAACGACCTGATCGGGAACGTGGCGGCTGGATGTGACAATACAGGGTGGGTGATTTGGGACTGTATTGGGTAGGTATGGGTGTGACTGTACAGGGAGACAGACAGTCGGACAACCAGGCCAGGCCACCACCTTTTGGATGGCCAAACCTCAGGATGACCTGATTGGCAACGTGGCGGCTGGATGTGACAATTCCGGTGGGTGTGACAATACAGGGTTGGTGTGGCAATACAGGGTGGGTGTGACAATACAGGGTGGGTGTGACAATACAGGGTTGGTGTGACAATACAGGGCGGTTTGACAATACAGGGGGTGTGACAATATAGGGGGGGGTGCCCCCCTGCCGCTCCCTTACCAACCACCCTCCTTATCCCCACCAGCTTCTGGTACGAGATGCTGGCTAAAATGCGGGGGCCTTCCAAGAGGCTTGACCTGGGCGACACCCCCATGCCAACCCGCTCCCCTTCCATCTTTATCCCCCACCCACCCACCAGCTTCTGGTACGAGATGCTCGATCGCATGAGAGGGGAGCCTCCAAGAGGCTTGATCTGGCCGACACCCCCATGCCTTGCTTCAGCAATTCAACTCGTCTCGTACCATATGCCTCTCATGACCTCCCTTCTCTCCCCCCTCTCCCCACCAGCTTCTGGTACGAGATGCTTGCTAAAATGCGGGGAGCCTCCAAGAGGCTTGATCTGGGCGACACCCCCATGCCGTTCTTTGACTCGTCTCATACGCCCCATCTCCCTCTCCCCTCCCAACTCCCCTCTCAATTGCCCTCCTCCATCTCTCCCCACCAGCTACTGGAACGAGATGCTGGCTCGAATGAGGGGAGCCTCCAAGAGGCTTGACCTGGGCGACACCCCCATGCCTTGCTTCAGCAATTCAACTCGTCTCGTACCATATGCCTCTCATGACCTTCCTTCTCTCCCCCCTCTCCCCACCAGATACTGGAACGAGATGCTGGCTAGAATGAGGGGAGCCTCCAAACGGCTTGACCTGGGCGACACCCCCATGCCTTTCTTTGACTCATTCCATACGCCCCATCTCCCTCTCTCCCCTACCTCAACGCCCCTGCCTCCCCTTCCCACCAGCTACTGGTACGAGATGCTCGCTAGAATGAGGGGGGCTTCCAAGAGGCTTGATCTGGGTGACACCCCCATGCCCTTCTTCGACTCGTTTGGCAAGTTTGACGGCAACGTGGCTCACTCCTGCAAGGCTGGAGTTCGCATGTATCCCCATGGCAACCGGCCCCCCAAGGAGGTGAGTGCGGTGCAATGCGATTCAATGAGTGTAATTCGGCGTTCATGGGTCACTTGTGCAAGGCGCGCGGGCGGGTGAGTGACACCCCCATGCCCTTCTTTGACTCGTTCGGCCGGTTTGACAGCAACGTGGCTCACTCCTGCAAGGCGGGAGTTCGCATGTATCCCCATGGGAACCGTCCACCCAAGGAGGTAAGTGTGATGCAATGTGATTCGCTGAGTGATTCACTTCACTCATGCATTCATGGGTCACTCGTGCATTCATGGGTCACTCGTGCAAGGTGGGTGGGTGAGTGACACCCCCATGCCCTTCTTTGACTCGTTTGGCAAGTTTGACGGCAACGTGGCTCACTCCTGCAAGGCTGGAGTTCGCATGTATCCCCATGGAAACCGCCTGCCCAATGCGGTCGAATGCGGTTCGCTGGGTGTAATTCGGCACTGGTGGGTCACTCGTGCAAGGCAAGGCAAGCGATTTTTGAGGCGCCTCAAAAGTCGTCTCTCTACCCGCAATTTTTATATTGATCGAATTCTTGTTGCTTGGGTGTTCTTTAAGACCCCTTGCTTGTTCGCTCTTTCACTTTGAACTCTTGCACTGATGAAGGCCTAGCGGGTATGATCCCCGTGCAAAGCCGAAACATGTTTGCTTTCGTCTAGAGTTTGAAGTGAGTTGTACGTTCGGATCTTAATCAATTTTTTCGAGGGTTACTTTTTTCACTGCTTGACTATCATCCCTTTGCTAAAGGCGACCTTGCCTACTGCTGCCCTTCTTCATGAGCACAGATCCGTGGGACTTTGAAAAGTTTCTTTCGGAAGAAGAGGCCGGTATGAAGGGACGTCACTCTAAGAATTCATCTCGCGGAGGGGGTTCGTCTGGCCGCCCGGGTTTTTCTGCTGAGAAGCAGTATCGCGTTGCGGGTTCTACGTTCCCTCCCTTGCCACTGGTCCGCGATGATCGTTTCATTGAGAAGCAACCAGAAATTCTTCCCGCTGCTGGCTCGTCGGGTCTTTCGTGCGCGTTCGCGACGGAAGCTACTGCTGACGTTACTCCAATCCCTGAGCCGTTCAAGGGATGGTCGCTGTCTGCAGTTAAGGGCTTTGGGGACGACTACAAGTCATATCTGAAGGCGAAGGCGAAACTGAAAAAGATGAAGGAGCTCAACGACAAGGGCGAGATACTTCACAGTATCCGCACGAAGGCGGTGGAGTTCCAGACAAAGTACGCCACCATCAAGGAGAAATCTGCAGGGCTCGTCGCAGCAACGCATCTGGAGAACCAGAAACGTCTCCAGGCGGATTTCATTTCGTCTAAAGAAGCGGAGGTCGAGGAAATTCTGGCAGCGAGCAACTCGCATGTCACGGTTTTAGCAACAAAGCTCGAGGAGTACATACAAAGCCTTTCCGCCGACCCAGAGCTGGTGGTGTCTGACGCCGCCAAGGAGCGATTTCGTCGCTTGAAGGGACGCTGCATCGAAAAGGTTAACTCTGAGATTGCTGCTGCTAAGGATGAGATCGTCATCCGAGAACTGGATCGACAGCGAAAACAGGCCGCTGAGGACTTGAAGAAAGCCGCTGCCGCGGAGGAACTGAAGGAGATGGATACAGAGCTGTCGATGGAGGAGATCCTGAAGAACCACACTAAGAAGATGGCGGATCAGCTTCGCAGGGAGATCACAGCGAGTGTTGAAGCCAAGCTATTGAAGAAGTTCAAGAAGGAGCTCTCTCTGGGTGAACAGGAACCTACGACAGCCTCCAACGCGGACTCCAAGGCTAAGAAGGAGAAGAACGATGCGCCTACGAAGCCGAGAAGGAAGCGCGGAGCTAAGAAGCCGAAAACGCAGAACTCCAACGGTGACGACGGGCAGCAGGGGAAAGGCGCCAACAACAACGACAAATCCAGCGCCAAGGGTCCAAAAAACGGCGGAGGCGGCCCCGGAAAAGGGCCGCGCAACAAGTAACGAGCCATGATTTGGCTCTCCGCTGGTTCGGTCGCATGACGTATCGGCAGGCGACGTCGCGCATACTGAACCAGGGAGTACACAACCTGAGCACCAGAATCTTGTCTCCTGACGAGAAGACGGCGCTTGGGTTGGGTCTAAAGTTCATACCAACGCCCGCCAGATCCCTTTCCTTCGGAGTGGAACTCGATCAGCTACTCCGACAGGTTTCCCTTCACTTTTTCTTCAACGAGTCAGGTGGTTCAGCGGCGGGTTCGCGTTTTCGTGTACGGAATCCCGGTTGGGTCCCTGATGTGAATCCGATTCCAGAGCAGGTTTTCAAAGAAACGGTTTCTGACCTTTCTGTCCTGTTGAAAGCTAACAGACCGAGGCGTGTTCGGAACATCTCGTTCGGCGTCGCCCAGGCTCTGCGTTCCATTGCAGCCGACCGCAGCGTGGTGATTAAACCGGCGGATAAGAACTTGGGGGTGACGGTGTTAGACAGGGAGCACTACGTCAGGCTGTGTCTGGATCATCTCGACGACCGGAGCACCTACGACATATTCTGTCTTCCAGCAACTGCGCACACTTCAGGTGGCATGGGGCCCTGCTCTTCCAGATAGTCTATGGAGGTATTTCTTACATCAACCTAGCGGGGGCTGGAAACCAGCGGCATTTTACATCCTACCGAAGCTGCATAAAAAAACCTTGGCGGGGCGTCCGATTGCTGCTTCGCATTCGTGGGTCACTACTAACGTCAGCACTTGGTTGGATGCTGAACTGCGGCCGCTGGTTCTTAAACAACCTTCCTACCTTCGCGACTCCCTCTCGCTGCTACTTGAGCTGGAATGCACTACTCTTCCCCGAAATGTGCTTCTGGCGACGTATGATGTCACCGCGCTGTACCCTAGTATTCCACTTCGGCGTGGTCTTGATACGGTCAGCGACTTTCTGCAGAGGGAGAACTCGTGTCAGGCCTTCCCGGTCTTGGCCCTGCTGGAGTGGGTCATGTTGAATTCCTACGTGGAGTTCAATGGCAACATCTACCGCCAGATTCAAGGGACCGCCATGGGAACTCCCGTGGCGGTCTGCTTTGCGGTACTTTTCATGAGCCGACTGGACGAGGTGCTGAAGCAGAGGTGGACCGGGACGCAGCCGCTTCGACACGTCAGATACATCGACGATGGGTTCATTGTCTGGCCTGGAACCAGAGATGAGCTGGAACGGTACTTCAACACGTTCAACAGCCTCGACCCGAATATCAAGCTTACGTGGCATGTCTCGGAGCAGTCAGTGGATTTCCTCGACATGGTCCTCTACAAGGGGGACCGGTTCGCTGCCTGCGGTACCTTGGATTTCCGGACCTTCCAGAAACCTATGAACCGGTATCTCTACCTCCCATTCTCATCATACCACCCACGTCACTGCAAGGTTGGGTTCATCCAGGCCGAATTGAAGCGGTATCTACTCCGCTCGTCATCAGCCTCGGCCTTCCTCGCAACGAAGCATGATTTCTTCCGCAGGCTTCGTGCACGTGGTTACCCTCCGGATTTCCTTCGCCCCATCTTCGGGAGCGTCTTCTTTCTACAACGCGGTGATCTTCTCGAGCAGACCTCGGCGCGACACTTACTCAAGCAACAGGATTCAACTTCATCACGCGGGCCCCTAGTTTTGAAGACGGTTTTCCCACCTGTGACTGCCCGTCTCAAATTAGGGGTACTTTTGAGGCGCCTCAAAAGTCGTCTCTCTACCCGCAATTTTTATATTGATCGAATTCTTGTTGCTTGGAAGTGTGCACGTAACGTGCAACAGTGCCTGGTTCGCGCGAGGTTACCACCACCCAATTCCAAGACTGCCGAAGACAAACCCGAAGAGTGACTGGACACCTAGGAATTTTCTTTTGTGTCTAGTTGGCGCATTTCTTATCTAGTTACGCGCCCAGGGTAGGATTTCCCTGTGTAGATCTCGAGGCTTGGGTGTTCTTTAAGACCCCTTGCTTGTTCGCTCTTTCACTTTGAACTCTTGCACTGATGAAGGCCTAGCGGGTATGATCCCCGTGCAAAGCCGAAACATGTTTGCTTTCGTCTAGAGTTTGAACTGAGTTGTACGTTCGGATCTTAATCAATTTTTTCGAGGGTTACTTTTTTCACTGGTTGACTATCATCCCTTTGCTAAAGGCGACCTTGCCTACTGCTGCCCTTCTTCATGAGCACAGATCCGTGGGTGTAATTCGGCACTGGTGGGTCACTCGTGCAAGGCAAGGCAAGCGATACCCCCATGCCCTTCGAGGTGTATTTTGAGGCGCCTCAAAATACCCCCATGCCCTTCGAGGTGTATTTTGAGGCGCCTCAAAATACCCCCATGCCCTTCGAGGTGTATTTTGAGGCGCCTCAAAATACCCCCATGCCCTTCGAGGTGTATTTTGAGGCGCCTCAAAATACCCCCATGCCCTTCGAGGTGTATTTTGAGGCGCCTCAAAATACCCCCATGCCCTTCGAGGTGTATTTTGAGGCGCCTCAAAATACCCCCATGCCCTTCGAGGTGTATTTTGAGGCGCCTCAAAATACCCCCATGCCCTTCGAGGTGTATTTTGAGGCGCCTCAAAATACCCCCATGCCCTTCTTCAACTTGTTCGGCTGGTTTGACGGCAGCGTGGCCCACTCATGCCCACTCATGCCCACTCATGCCCACTCATGCCCACTCATGCCCACTCATGCCCACTCATGCCCACTCATACAGGTCGAAACTGTTTTTCTATGCAGCGTGGCCCACTCATGCAAGGCCGGGATGTGATGGGATGTGATGGGATGTGATGGGATGTGGTGTAAAAGGTTATACAAGCATAGTTGGATGCTCGCAGCCCATAATCGTATACTCTCTCCTCCTCACACTCCTCCCATCCTCCATCTCCCTCTTTCTCCCCCTCCACCCCTCACAATCGTTTTCCGTTACCTGCGTGATCACTAGAGCAGCCTCGGGTATGACAATGGTTCGTTGTCCTGATTCCCTCCTTCTTTCCTCACTCATCTCTTCTCCTCTCCCCGTTCTGCTCGCCTCCCCCCCTCGCCCACCCTCCTCCTGCATGCCCCCCTGACAGGCCGTTTTCACCAACCTACTCGTTTACCAAAGCCGACTCGGGTACGTCTCTTCTTGTTGTGTTTAATCTGTTTTCTTTTTTTATTCTAAAAAAACAGATTCAGCTGACTCGGGTATGTCTCTTCTTGTCCTTGCTCCTCTCTCTCCCTTTTCGTTCCCGCCCTCTGCGCCCTCTATTCCTTCTGCTTCCATTTTCGTCTCCAATCACACCACTTCGACTCTCGTTTATTCCCCTTGCCACACTGCTCCCCACCCCACCTCACCGCACTCAACCCCACTCCACCGCATTCTACCTCGCAGCATCCTCTTCCATCGTGCCAGGGACACCACCGTCCGGGACTCGGCATTCGTCGACGTGGCGGTGGGCATCGGCAGCGACGTGAACGTGGACATCAAAGTGCAGAACTCGAGATTTGTCGGCCGCACACAAGCATGCTCGTAAGTTGACACCTCCTTACACATGTAAGACCTGCCTGCCAGCATGCCGTCTGCAGCAGCAGCAGCACGTATGTCGACGTGGCGGTGAGCTTCGGCAACAACGTGAATGTGGGCATCAAAGTGCAGAAATCGAGATTCGTGGGCCGCACCCAGGCATGCGCGTGAGTTATGTTTGAATCATCATGCATGCAAGCACATCAGATCGACAGCCATGCATGTATTCCGGTGGAGGAACCGGTGGAGGAACCGGTGGAGGAACCGGTGGAGGAACCGGTGGAGGAACCGGTGGAGGAACCGGTGGAGGAACCGGTGGAGGAACCGGTGGAGGAACCGGTGGAGGAACCGGTGGAGGAACCGGTGGAGGAACCGGTGGAGGAACCGGTGGAGGAACCGGTGGAGGAACCGGTGGAGGAACCGGTGGAGGAACCGGTGGAGGAACCGGTGGAGGAACCGGTGGAGGAACCGGTGGAGGAACCGGTGGAGGAACCGGTGGAGGAACCGGTGGAGGAACCGGTGGAGGAACCGGTGGAGGAACCGGTGGAGGAACCGGTGGAGGAACCGGTGGAGGAACCGGTGGAGGAACCGGTGGAGGAACCGGTGGAGGAACCGGTGGAGGAACCGGTGGAGGAACCGGTGGAGGAACCGGTGGAGGAACCGGTGGAGGAACCGGTGGAGGAACCGGTGGAGGAACCGGTGGAGGAACCGGTGGAGGAACCGGTGGAGGAACCGGTGGAGGAACCGGTGGAGGAACCGGTGGAGGAACCGGTGGAGGAACCGGTGGAGGAACCGGTGGAGGAACCGGTGGAGGAACCGGTGGAGGAACCGGTGGAGGAACCGGTGGAGGAACCGGTGGAGGAACCGGTGGAGGAACCGGTGGAGGAACCGGTGGAGGAACCGGTGGAGGAACCGGTGGAGGAACCGGTGGAGGAACCGGTGGAGGAACCGGTGGAGGAACCGGTGGAGGAACCGGTGGAGGAACCGGTGGAGGAACCGGTGGAGGAACCGGTGGAGGAACCGGTGGAGGAACCGGTGGAGGAACCGGTGGAGGAACCGGTGGAGGAACCGGTGGAGGAACCGGTGGAGGAACCGGTGGAGGAACCGGTGGAGGAACCGGTGGAGGAACCGGTGGAGGAACCGGTGGAGGAACCGGTGGAGGAACCGGTGGAGGAACCGGTGGAGGAACCGGTGGAGGAACCGGTGGAGGAACCGGTGGAGGAACCGGTGGAGGAACCGGTGGAGGAACCGGTGGAGGAACCGGTGGAGGAACCGGTGGAGGAACCGGTGGAGGAACCGGTGGAGGAACCGGTGGAGGAACCGGTGGAGGAACCGGTGGAGGAACCGGTGGAGGAACCGGTGGAGGAACCGGTGGAGGAACCGGTGGAGGAACCGGTGGAGGAACCGGTGGAGGAACCGGTGGAGGAACCGGTGGAGGAACCGGTGGAGGAACCGGTGGAGGAACCGGTGGAGGAACCGGTGGAGGAACCGGTGGAGGAACCGGTGGAGGAACCGGTGGAGGAACCGGTGGAGGAACCGGTGGAGGAACCGGTGGAGGAACCGGTGGAGGAACCGGTGGAGGAACCGGTGGAGGAACCGGTGGAGGAACCGGTGGAGGAACCGGTGGAGGAACCGGTGGAGGAACCGGTGGAGGAACCGGTGGAGGAACCGGTGGAGGAACCGGTGGAGGAACCGGTGGAGGAACCGGTGGAGGAACCGGTGGAGGAACCGGTGGAGGAACCGGTGGAGGAACCGGTGGAGGAACCGGTGGAGGAACCGGTGGAGGAACCGGTGGAGGAACCGGTGGAGGAACCGGTGGAGGAACCGGTGGAGGAACCGGTGGAGGAACCGGTGGAGGAACCGGTGGAGGAACCGGTGGAGGAACCGGTGGAGGAACCGGTGGAGGAACCGGTGGAGGAACCGGTGGAGGAACCGGTGGAGGAACCGGTGGAGGAACCGGTGGAGGAACCGGTGGAGGAACCGGTGGAGGAACCGGTGGAGGAACCGGTGGAGGAACCGGTGGAGGAACCGGTGGAGGAACCGGTGGAGGAACCGGTGGAGGAACCGGTGGAGGAACCGGTGGAGGAACCGGTGGAGGAACCGGTGGAGGAACCGGTGGAGGAACCGGTGGAGGAACCGGTGGAGGAACCGGTGGAGGAACCGGTGGAGGAACCGGTGGAGGAACCGGTGGAGGAACCGGTGGAGGAACCGGTGGAGGAACCGGTGGAGGAACCGGTGGAGGAACCGGTGGAGGAACCGGTGGAGGAACCGGTGGAGGAACCGGTGGAGGAACCGGTGGAGGAACCGGTGGAGGAACCGGTGGAGGAACCGGTGGAGGAACCGGTGGAGGAACCGGTGGAGGAACCGGTGGAGGAACCGGTGGAGGAACCGGTGGAGGAACCGGTGGAGGAACCGGTGGAGGAACCGGTGGAGGAACCGGTGGAGGAACCGGTGGAGGAACCGGTGGAGGAACCGGTGGAGGAACCGGTGGAGGAACCGGTGGAGGAACCGGTGGAGGAACCGGTGGAGGAACCGGTGGAGGAACCGGTGGAGGAACCGGTGGAGGAACCGGTGGAGGAACCGGTGGAGGAACCGGTGGAGGAACCGGTGGAGGAACCGGTGGAGGAACCGGTGGAGGAACCGGTGGAGGAACCGGTGGAGGAACCGGTGGAGGAACCGGTGGAGGAACCGGTGGAGGAACCGGTGGAGGAACCGGTGGAGGAACCGGTGGAGGAACCGGTGGAGGAACCGGTGGAGGAACCGGTGGAGGAACCGGTGGAGGAACCGGTGGAGGAACCGGTGGAGGAACCGGTGGAGGAACCGGTGGAGGAACCGGTGGAGGAACCGGTGGAGGAACCGGTGGAGGAACCGGTGGAGGAACCGGTGGAGGAACCGGTGGAGGAACCGGTGGAGGAACCGGTGGAGGAACCGGTGGAGGAACCGGTGGAGGAACCGGTGGAGGAACCGGTGGAGGAACCGGTGGAGGAACCGGTGGAGGAACCGGTGGAGGAACCGGTGGAGGAACCGGTGGAGGAACCGGTGGAGGAACCGGTGGAGGAACCGGTGGAGGAACCGGTGGAGGAACCGGTGGAGGAACCGGTGGAGGAACCGGTGGAGGAACCGGTGGAGGAACCGGTGGAGGAACCGGTGGAGGAACCGGTGGAGGAACCGGTGGAGGAACCGGTGGAGGAACCGGTGGAGGAACCGGTGGAGGAACCGGTGGAGGAACCGGTGGAGGAACCGGTGGAGGAACCGGTGGAGGAACCGGTGGAGGAACCGGTGGAGGAACCGGTGGAGGAACCGGTGGAGGAACCGGTGGAGGAACCGGTGGAGGAACCGGTGGAGGAACCGGTGGAGGAACCGGTGGAGGAACCGGTGGAGGAACCGGTGGAGGAACCGGTGGAGGAACCGGTGGAGGAACCGGTGGAGGAACCGGTGGAGGAACCGGTGGAGGAACCGGTGGAGGAACCGGTGGAGGAACCGGTGGAGGAACCGGTGGAGGAACCGGTGGAGGAACCGGTGGAGGAACCGGTGGAGGAACCGGTGGAGGAACCGGTGGAGGAACCGGTGGAGGAACCGGTGGAGGAACCGGTGGAGGAACCGGTGGAGGAACCGGTGGAGGAACCGGTGGAGGAACCGGTGGAGGAACCGGTGGAGGAACCGGTGGAGGAACCGGTGGAGGAACCGGTGGAGGAACCGGTGGAGGAACCGGTGGAGGAACCGGTGGAGGAACCGGTGGAGGAACCGGTGGAGGAACCGGTGGAGGAACCGGTGGAGGAACCGGTGGAGGAACCGGTGGAGGAACCGGTGGAGGAACCGGTGGAGGAACCGGTGGAGGAACCGGTGGAGGAACCGGTGGAGGAACCGGTGGAGGAACCGGTGGAGGAACCGGTGGAGGAACCGGTGGAGGAACCGGTGGAGGAACCGGTGGAGGAACCGGTGGAGGAACCGGTGGAGGAACCGGTGGAGGAACCGGTGGAGGAACCGGTGGAGGAACCGGTGGAGGAACCGGTGGAGGAACCGGTGGAGGAACCGGTGGAGGAACCGGTGGAGGAACCGGTGGAGGAACCGGTGGAGGAACCGGTGGAGGAACCGGTGGAGGAACCGGTGGAGGAACCGGTGGAGGAACCGGTGGAGGAACCGGTGGAGGAACCGGTGGAGGAACCGGTGGAGGAACCGGTGGAGGAACCGGTGGAGGAACCGGTGGAGGAACCGGTGGAGGAACCGGTGGAGGAACCGGTGGAGGAACCGGTGGAGGAACCGGTGGAGGAACCGGTGGAGGAACCGGTGGAGGAACCGGTGGAGGAACCGGTGGAGGAACCGGTGGAGGAACCGGTGGAGGAACCGGTGGAGGAACCGGTGGAGGAACCGGTGGAGGAACCGGTGGAGGAACCGGTGGAGGAACCGGTGGAGGAACCGGTGGAGGAACCGGTGGAGGAACCGGTGGAGGAACCGGTGGAGGAACCGGTGGAGGAACCGGTGGAGGAACCGGTGGAGGAACCGGTGGAGGAACCGGTGGAGGAACCGGTGGAGGAACCGGTGGAGGAACCGGTGGAGGAACCGGTGGAGGAACCGGTGGAGGAACCGGTGGAGGAACCGGTGGAGGAACCGGTGGAGGAACCGGTGGAGGAACCGGTGGAGGAACCGGTGGAGGAACCGGTGGAGGAACCGGTGGAGGAACCGGTGGAGGAACCGGTGGAGGAACCGGTGGAGGAACCGGTGGAGGAACCGGTGGAGGAACCGGTGGAGGAACCGGTGGAGGAACCGGTGGAGGAACCGGTGGAGGAACCGGTGGAGGAACCGGTGGAGGAACCGGTGGAGGAACCGGTGGAGGAACCGGTGGAGGAACCGGTGGAGGAACCGGTGGAGGAACCGGTGGAGGAACCGGTGGAGGAACCGGTGGAGGAACCGGTGGAGGAACCGGTGGAGGAACCGGTGGAGGAACCGGTGGAGGAACCGGTGGAGGAACCGGTGGAGGAACCGGTGGAGGAACCGGTGGAGGAACCGGTGGAGGAACCGGTGGAGGAACCGGTGGAGGAACCGGTGGAGGAACCGGTGGAGGAACCGGTGGAGGAACCGGTGGAGGAACCGGTGGAGGAACCGGTGGAGGAACCGGTGGAGGAACCGGTGGAGGAACCGGTGGAGGAACCGGTGGAGGAACCGGTGGAGGAACCGGTGGAGGAACCGGTGGAGGAACCGGTGGAGGAACCGGTGGAGGAACCGGTGGAGGAACCGGTGGAGGAACCGGTGGAGGAACCGGTGGAGGAACCGGTGGAGGAACCGGTGGAGGAACCGGTGGAGGAACCGGTGGAGGAACCGGTGGAGGAACCGGTGGAGGAACCGGTGGAGGAACCGGTGGAGGAACCGGTGGAGGAACCGGTGGAGGAACCGGTGGAGGAACCGGTGGAGGAACCGGTGGAGGAACCGGTGGAGGAACCGGTGGAGGAACCGGTGGAGGAACCGGTGGAGGAACCGGTGGAGGAACCGGTGGAGGAACCGGTGGAGGAACCGGTGGAGGAACCGGTGGAGGAACCGGTGGAGGAACCGGTGGAGGAACCGGTGGAGGAACCGGTGGAGGAACCGGTGGAGGAACCGGTGGAGGAACCGGTGGAGGAACCGGTGGAGGAACCGGTGGAGGAACCGGTGGAGGAACCGGTGGAGGAACCGGTGGAGGAACCGGTGGAGGAACCGGTGGAGGAACCGGTGGAGGAACCGGTGGAGGAACCGGTGGAGGAACCGGTGGAGGAACCGGTGGAGGAACCGGTGGAGGAACCGGTGGAGGAACCGGTGGAGGAACCGGTGGAGGAACCGGTGGAGGAACCGGTGGAGGAACCGGTGGAGGAACCGGTGGAGGAACCGGTGGAGGAACCGGTGGAGGAACCGGTGGAGGAACCGGTGGAGGAACCGGTGGAGGAACCGGTGGAGGAACCGGTGGAGGAACCGGTGGAGGAACCGGTGGAGGAACCGGTGGAGGAACCGGTGGAGGAACCGGTGGAGGAACCGGTGGAGGAACCGGTGGAGGAACCGGTGGAGGAACCGGTGGAGGAACCGGTGGAGGAACCGGTGGAGGAACCGGTGGAGGAACCGGTGGAGGAACCGGTGGAGGAACCGGTGGAGGAACCGGTGGAGGAACCGGTGGAGGAACCGGTGGAGGAACCGGTGGAGGAACCGGTGGAGGAACCGGTGGAGGAACCGGTGGAGGAACCGGTGGAGGAACCGGTGGAGGAACCGGTGGAGGAACCGGTGGAGGAACCGGTGGAGGAACCGGTGGAGGAACCGGTGGAGGAACCGGTGGAGGAACCGGTGGAGGAACCGGTGGAGGAACCGGTGGGGGAACCGGTGGAGGAACCGGTGGAGGAACCGGTGGAGGAACCGGTGGAGGAACCGGTGGAGGAACCGGTGGAGGAACCGGTGGAGGAACCGGTGGAGGAACCGGTGGAGGAACCGGTGGAGGAACCGGTGGAGGAACCGGTGGAGGAACCGGTGGAGGAACCGGTGGAGGAACCGGTGGAGGAACCGGTGGAGGAACCGGTGGAGGAACCGGTGGAGGAACCGGTGGAGGAACCGGTGGAGGAACCGGTGGAGGAACCGGTGGAGGAACCGGTGGAGGAACCGGTGGAGGAACCGGTGGAGGAACCGGTGGAGGAACCGGTGGAGGAACCGGTGGAGGAACCGGTGGAGGAACCGGTGGAGGAACCGGTGGAGGAACCGGTGGAGGAACCGGTGGAGGAACCGGTGGAGGAACCGGTGGAGGAACCGGTGGAGGAACCGGTGGAGGAACCGGTGGAGGAACCGGTGGAGGAACCGGTGGAGGAACCGGTGGAGGAACCGGTGGAGGAACCGGTGGAGGAACCGGTGGAGGAACCGGTGGAGGAACCGGTGGAGGAACCGGTGGAGGAACCGGTGGAGGAACCGGTGGAGGAACCGGTGGAGGAACCGGTGGAGGAACCGGTGGAGGAACCGGTGGAGGAACCGGTGGAGGAACCGGTGGAGGAACCGGTGGAGGAACCGGTGGAGGAACCGGTGGAGGAACCGGTGGAGGAACCGGTGGAGGAACCGGTGGAGGAACCGGTGGAGGAACCGGTGGAGGAACCGGTGGAGGAACCGGTGGAGGAACCGGTGGAGGAACCGGTGGAGGAACCGGTGGAGGAACCGGTGGAGGAACCGGTGGAGGAACCGGTGGAGGAACCGGTGGAGGAACCGGTGGAGGAACCGGTGGAGGAACCGGTGGAGGAACCGGTGGAGGAACCGGTGGAGGAACCGGTGGAGGAACCGGTGGAGGAACCGGTGGAGGAACCGGTGGAGGAACCGGTGGAGGAACCGGTGGAGGAACCGGTGGAGGAACCGGTGGAGGAACCGGTGGAGGAACCGGTGGAGGAACCGGTGGAGGAACCGGTGGAGGAACCGGTGGAGGAACCGGTGGAGGAACCGGTGGAGGAACCGGTGGAGGAACCGGTGGAGGAACCGGTGGAGGAACCGGTGGAGGAACCGGTGGAGGAACCGGTGGAGGAACCGGTGGAGGAACCGGTGGAGGAACCGGTGGAGGAACCGGTGGAGGAACCGGTGGAGGAACCGGTGGAGGAACCGGTGGAGGAACCGGTGGAGGAACCGGTGGAGGAACCGGTGGAGGAACCGGTGGAGGAACCGGTGGAGGAACCGGTGGAGGAACCGGTGGAGGAACCGGTGGAGGAACCGGTGGAGGAACCGGTGGAGGAACCGGTGGAGGAACCGGTGGAGGAACCGGTGGAGGAAACCGGTGGAGGAACCGGTGGAGGAACCGGTGGAGGAACCGGTGGAGGAACCGGTGGAGGAACCGGTGGAGGAACCGGTGGAGGAACCGGTGGAGGAACCGGTGGAGGAACCGGTGGAGGAACCGGTGGAGGAACCGGTGGAGGAACCGGTGGAGGAACCGGTGGAGGAACCGGTGGAGGAACCGGTGGAGGAACCGGTGGAGGAACCGGTGGAGGAACCGGTGGATGCATGTATCATACATACATGTGCATATTCCGGTTCCTCCACTTCCTGTTTCCTTGTCTGCCTTCTGCCCTTCTCACCCTATCAGCCCCCACAGCTCACCACCCAAGCAAGCCTTTACGGCTGCGTCACCCAATGCAGTCCCCAACTCCCTGCAGCGAACCTTGACACGTAACACTCTCCCACCCACCTTGTACTTCTTTCCCTCTGCTCTTCTCACCCTGCCACCCCCCACAGATCACCAGCCAAGCAAGCCTCTGGAGCTGCATCAACCAAGGCGGTTTCTGCAGCAGTCCTTGAAGCATAACACCTTGCCTCTCACCCTGCCTTCCCCTCTCCTCCTCTCACCCTGCCTTCCCCTCTCCTCCTCTCACCCTGCCTTCCCCTCTCCTCCTCTCACCCTGCCTTCCCCTCTCCTCCTCTCACCCTGCCTTCCCCTCTCCTCCTCTCACCCTGCCTTCCCCCACAGCGCACCAGCCAAGCAAGCCTCTGGAGCTGCGTTACCCTCTCACCTTGTGCTTCTTACCCAACACCCACCTTGTCCTTCTTTCCCTCTGCTCTGCTCTTCTCACTCTGCCTTCCTCCACAGCGTACCAGCCAAATCAGCCTCTCGAGCTTCATCAACCAAGGCGCCTTCTGCAGCAGCATCAGCTACCGGTTCTCTTCCCATGTCCGTTTCTGCCCTATCTATGGACACTGATTCTTCTCCTGCTGGCGCTGATATATTCCCAAACCAGCCATCGGCCTCCTCAGCTGTTCAGGAGTCTGTTTCATCTCAGCTGCTCCGGTCGTATCTCAACCCGGTGGGAGGCATTGTGGCAGCAAGCGCAGCGTCTACTAACGAGGATGATTTCAACCAGGGAAGCAGCATGAGGGGCAGTAGTAGGGTCACCACCACCACTGCTGCTGCTACTGCTGCTACCACCACTGCCAACAGCCTTTCCACCATTCAAAGCCTTCCCACCGAAAGCACCACCACTCTCGCCTCTTCAACCCTCGACTCTTCAACCCTCGACTCTTCAACCCTCGACTCTTCAACCCTCGACTCTTCAACCCTCGACTCTTCAACCCTCGACTCTTCAACCCTCGACTCTTCAACCCTCGACTCTTCAGCCCAAGGCAATCCTTCCAATCCTCCCACGGACGGCTATCCCACTCCCATCGCCACCAACCCTACTTCAAACCCCCAAACCGTTTCAGACAGCCCCGAAACCCCTCTCGATCCCTCATCTGATCCCGCTTTTGCAAAAGAGCTGAATTACTGGCACGATGAGGAGGTGGCAGCTATATTCTCCTCTCTTTCCCGAGCCTCGCTGCCCCGGCTTCCCAAAGCTACCCTCTCGCGCATCGCCCAGCTTCGGAACAGACTCGGGCTGTCTAGGTTCGGGCACAGGCTCGGGAAGGGGCTTGGGAACAGGCTCGGGAAGTGGCTTAGAGGTTCGGCTGGGGGGAGTAACGGGGCGGGGAACAGCAGCGGCGTTGAGTTGAACAGTGTTGCGAGCGTGCGGGCGGCGGTTGTGTCTTTTAGGTTCGGGATGTTTGAGTCGCCGGTCGGCATTGCGCTGAGTCAGCAGCATTGGATGGATCCTTCTGGCAGTGTCAAGATCTCTGGATGCTCGTAAGTGGAGTGGAAAATGAATGAGTTGAATGAACTGCTGTAAAGTTGTGCTTAGAGAGTTGCATTGTACTGAGTCAGCAGCATTGGATGGACCCAGCTGGCAGCGTCGCCAAGTCAAGATCTCGGGATGCTCGTAAGTGTGGAGCCCAGGTTAAACAGGTTAGCTGAGGTATGCGCAGCACTATTGAGCTTAACTTAGGTATGGGCATGTTGCATCCCAATCCCACCCCCCGCCCCAACCCATGCCATGCCGCCTCAATGCATGCCACACAGGTTTACCCAGTACGCTACATGCAACCCCGCCAGCCCTGCCATCGTGGCGCAAGCAACGGTCTTTGGGGGTTTCTGGGACACATCCACAGCCACTCAGGTGCGCTCTTGTGAACCGAGTCTATTAAATAAAAATAAATAAATAAATAAATAAAAACTTGCCATCGTGTCGCAAGCGACCATCTTCGGGGGCTTCTGGGACACATCCACAGCCACTCAGGTGTGCTTGCTCTTTCGTTCTCAGTCCGCAGCCACTTAGGTAGACATGCTCTTAAAAATCTCCCTAATATCACGCCTGACATTTTCGCCTGGCCTGGCTATTCCACCCAAGAGAATTCACTTGGGATTCTACAACGAGATATATAATGTTACTACAATCTTCAACTTATTGTTACTACAATCTCGTCCATGACTCTTCGTCGTCCTTGGCCATTTTGAGGCGCCTCAAAATACACCTCACTTGGGATTCTCCAACGAGATATATAATGTTACTACAATCTCGTCCATAACTCTTCGTCTTCCTGCTGCAGGGTGTTTTTGAGAATTCTCAAAAACACCCTTTCGCCTTGCCTGGCTATTCCACCCAAGAGGATTCACTTGGGATTCTACAACGAGATATATGATGTTAGGTGTAAGGCTACAACGACCAGTAACATTATAGCAAATGCCTATAATGTTACTACAATCTCGTCCATAACTCTTCGTCTTACTTGGCCATTTGCCCCCCTGCCTTGCTCCCCTGCCCTTGCCCCACGCCCCCTCCCCTCTCCCCTTTGCCCTTGTCAACCCAGGGTCTCAAATTTGATGCAACCACCAGTCGGGTGTACCTTCAGCAAGAAGCGGTGAGCGATAGATTATAGATTATAGATTATAGATGATAGATTATAGATTATATCATGAATCTTGATAGATTATATCAGCTTGAGGGAACATGCTTCCATTTCATTTCACTTTGAGTCGGCTAAACGTAACAGTTGTTGGGAGGGATTGTGACCGACCACCAGTCGACCTGCCTGCTGCAGCAAGACACAGTCCACGTTGCTAATCTTGACGCCAATCACTCGCTAGGCTAGGTCATGTGTCTCACTAGGTCTTGCATCTCCCAGTCCAGTCGCTAATCTGAGACGATTAGGAGGCGCCTTCCGGTCTTGCACCCCAGTCCGCAGGGTTTTGAGGCGCCTCAAAGAGCATCTCACTCACTAGGTCTTGCATCTCCCAGTCTCTCATCTCATCTCCAGCTTCTTTGCCATCAAAGACGACATCAAAGTTTTGAGTCGACTCAAAACACGACTCTTTGCCGTCCCACCCACCCTCATTAGAGCTCTCCCCACCCTCCTCCCACCTTTCCCTCCTCCTTCCCGCCCTCCCCCAATGCCTTCCCACCCTCTTCCTCTCCACCACCGCCTTCCAGAATCCCACCAAGTCCACGTCTCTAATCTCCAGCTTCTTTGCCATTCGGCGCCCCCACCCCCTCCGTGTAGCGAGGTTGTTTTTGAGGCGCCTCAAAAGTAATCTCCAGCTTCTTTGCCATTCGGCGCCCCCACCCCCTCCGTCTCCCTCCCTACTCGCCCCCATTCCCTCCCCACCCTCTTACCGCCCAAACACCTCTTCCCAGAATCCCACCAAGTCCACGTCTCTCGTCTCCAACTTCATGGCCGTTAGAGACATCGACGGAACCCTCATCGGCGGCTCTGGGGGCTTCGCCATCGTGCCTTATCTCGCCAAGGTGGGTCAGAGGGATAGGTTGTGAGACGGCTCAGCACTCCAAGAGGAGATCCTAAGGGGAGCGATCACCATTACTAGGTGGTGCCGTGTTGTTGGTGAAACCCTCATTGGCGGCTCTGGGGGCTTGCCATCGTGCCCTATCTCGCCAAGGTGGGTCAGAGGGATAGGTTGTGAGACGGCTCAGCACTCCAAGAGGAGATCCTAAGGGGAGTGGTCACCATTACTAGGTGGTGCCATGTTGTTGGTGAAACCCTCATTGGCGGCTCTGGGGGCTTCGCCATCGTGCCCTATCTCGCCAAGGTGGGTCACAGGCAAAGGGGAGAGAGGAAACAGTACCAGGTGGTGTCATTCCTTTGATGGAGCCCAAATCGGTGGCTCTGGGGGCTTCGCCATCGTGCCCTATCTTGCCAAGGTGGGTCGGAGAGGCTAAGGTCTCGAGATGTTTCATCACACACACTTGACCCGGTGTCAGGTGGTGCCGTGTCCTTGGTTGGTGGATCCTCATCGGTGGCTCTGGGGGCTTCGCCATCGTGCCCTATCTCGCCAAGGTGAGTGCGATGCCAAGGCATTTCTCCTTTTATTTTTGCCTGGGCTATTTGGTCTCCTAGGTTTCATGTGAGGCTGTCGGTTTGGCGGCTCTGGGGGCTTCGCCATCGTGCCCTATCTCACCAAGGTGAGTCACATGCTGAGGTATTGAGATGTCTCATCACACTGGACCAAGTACCAGGTCGTGCCTAAACCTTGGTTGCTGCAACCCCCATTGGCAGCTCTGGCGGCCAAGCAGAGGAGCATGCCAGCAGGGAAGCAGCCAGCAGGGCCCCTGTCAGGCTGCCAGTACAGCGACCTCTCGGTGGGGTTCACATGCCGCCCCCTCTCCATGCCACCCTCTCCTTTCTCACCCAGCCTCCCGCCACTGTTGCAGCCAGCAGGGCCCCTGTCGAGCTGCCAGTATCAAGACCTCTCGGTGGGGTTCACATGCCCGGCCACCTGCTTCCACTCCTTTTCCGCCACAGTTGCTGAAACCCCTCCCCACCGCTCCCCACTCCCCTGCTTCCCTTTTTCCAGCCTCCAGCCACTGTGGCAGCCAAGAAGAACAGCCTCCCCTCAGGACGAAAGCCAGCAGGCCCACTCTCAGGCTGCCAGTACTACCTCTCGGTGGGGTTCACATGCCCGGGCACCTGCTACCACTCCTTCTCCGCCACCTATTACGAATCAACCGCCGCTGCTGCTGTGAAGGGGAGCACCCAGCGGCCGTACAGCTACCTGGTGATCACGAGGGAGGAGGACGGGGCGCAGTTCACGGCTTACGGGTTCCAGAACGACCCCCTGCCTGTCATCCCCGCCAAGTCCTCTGTCCGCAGGTAAAGTCAACTCCCACTAGCTAGCCACTAGCCCTGCCGCTGCTGCTGTGAAGGGCAGCAGCCAGCGGCCGTACAGCTACCTGGTGACCACGAGGGAGGAGGACGGGGCTCAGTTCACGGCTTACGGGTTTCAGAACGACCCTATTCCTGTCATCCCCGCCAAGGCCTCTGTCCGCAGGTGGGTGGGTTCCCACTCACTTCCCAGTCTATTCTCTCTCAGTTACCTCTCAGTTACCTCTCAGTTACCTCTCAGTTACCTCTCAGTTACCTCTCAGTTATCTCTCAGTTACCTCTCAGTTACCTCTCAGTTATCTCTCAGTTACCTCTCAGTTACCTCTCAGTTATCTCTCAGTTACCTCTCAGTTACCTCTCAGTTACCTCTCAGTTATCTCTCAGTTACCTCTCAGTTACCTCTCAGTTATCTCTCAGTTACCATCCAGTTACCAGGTGTGTGAGTGAATAGCCACGTGTGCTGCTGCTGCTGCTGCTGCTGCTGCTGCTGCTGTGAAGGGGAGCACCCAGCGGCCATACAGCTACCTGGTGATCACCAGAGAGGAGGATGGGGCTCAATTCACGGCCTACGGGTTCCAGAACGACCCGCTTCCAACCATCCCTGCCAAAGCAAATGCCCGCAGGTTGGTCAAGTGGGTCTCAGCCACGCTTGGAGCCGGCTTCACCTACCGTGTGCGCCTCTCTCCGTTTCCTCCTCTCTCTCTCTCTCCATTTATCCCAACAGGTGGATATCTGCCACCCTGGAAGCCAGGTTCACCTACCGTACACACCTCGTTGCTCCCCTCTACCACCAACCAACCTCCCTTGTTTCACCTTCTCTTTCCGTTTTCTTATCTCTGTCCTTCTCTCTTTTCCCACACAGGTGGATATCAGCCACGCTTGAAGCCGGCTTCACCTACCGCGTGCGCGTCGTCGCTCCCCCATCCAACCCCACCTTCTATCCGGATCGCATCGCGGTGCAGCTGCGAGACATGGGGGGTTGTGAGGGGCGAGTCAAGGTTTTGATGGAGCCCAAGGACGCTGCCACCAACTGGGTCGCCACCTACAGCCCTCCCACCAGGTGCGTACCTACAACCTTATAGCCCTCCCACCATGTGAGCTGGTTGCCTCTTACCCACAACCTTATAGCCCTCCCACCAGGTGCGTTGGCTGCCTCTTAGGTGAGCTATCCCCTGAACCAACTGTGTGAGGGGCGAGTCAAGGTCTTGATTGAGCCCAAGGACGCTGCCACCAACTGGGTCGCCACCTACAGCCCTCCCACCAGGTGCGCCGTTAGTCCTACCTGCTCCCCTGTCCCCTCTCATCATGTGAGCGGTGCAGCTGAGGGACGTGGGGGGGTGTGAGGGGCGAGTGAGGGTCTTGATGGAGCCCAAGGACGCTGCCACCAACTGGGTCGCCACCTACAGTCCTCCCACCAGGTGCGCCATTAGCCTCTCTCACCTCTCCCCTCCCAGGAGGTGAGTCCTTACCAGGTGCAGCTGAGGGACGTGGGGAGGTGTGAGGGGCGAGTGAAGGTCTTGATTGAGCCCAAGGACGCTGCCACTAACTGGGTCGGTCGCCACCTACAGCCCTCCCACCAGGTGAACCCTTACAGCCCACCAGGTGCAGCTGAGGGACGTGTGGGGGTGTGAGGGGCGAGTGTGGGTGCTCTCTGCCACCAACTGGGTCGCCACCTATAGCCCTCCCACCAGGTGAGCCTATACCCTAACCACCCACCAGGAAGGTCATCCGCACTTCCCACAGCTCCCCCATTCAACCCGGTCTTCCATCCATTCCCACAAATCTCTAAGCTATGAGTCCCTTGCTCTCCCCCTCCCTTGCTCTCCCCCTCCCTTGCTCTCCCCCTCCCTTGCTGCCCCTCCTTCTCTATCCAGGTGCTCCTCAACGGTGCTTGCCCCATCCACCACCTACCAGAGCTACCTTTCTCCAACACCTTCCCACTCTTACGCCTGAACTCTTATTTCACTGCTCTCTCCCTTGCTTGCCTCTCTCCTCCTTCCCTCAGGTGCTCCTCAACGGTGCTCGCCCCATCCACCACCTACCAGAGCTTTCGCTGCTGCTCAAACACCCACCAGCTCCCACACCCAGATGCCTAGATCCATCCCTCTCTAAACTAGTAATCCCCATTGCTCTCTCTCTCTCTTCCTTGCTTGTTTTTCCTCCTTCCCCCAGGTGCTCATCAACGGTGCTCGCCCCATCCACCACCTACCAGAGCTACCTCTGCTCCAACAGCCGTCGCTTCCTGGCCCTCGATTTCGGCGCCCCGGAACAGTCCTACCAGATGCTTGCCATTGCTCGCTCGGCCTCCTGCTCATCTACATCTTGCTAGATGCTTTGTTTCTCTTGCTTGAGGCTCCCTGAAAGAAGAAAAAGAAAAACCACGCCCTTTTGCGGGGATATTAGATTGTTTGCTGAGCAGCTTCTCTCACTATGCGGCCAATTTATATAACCACGTCAGTTATTTTCTTTCATGCCTTGAGAATTTCTTCAGCTTCTCTCACTATTTTGTGCATTTCATCATTATGAAGCGTTGTTTCAGTCTAGCTGCAAAGCAAAGACTGCTTGATAGATAACAATTTAACTACTGCCCTGAATAGGTGTTACAAATAAATGTAATTTTCCTTAATCTGTATCTAACCATTTTTATGTGAGATAGAACCGCAGTGAATTTCCGAAGATGCCCTGTCCATCCGCTACTAGACAGTAGCAAGCGAAATGGCACCCATTGGACATTCGTTTCTGTACATAGGCTCGCCGAACCCTAACGTTCTAGTGAACTAAGGCGGTAGCCTCGTGCACTAGTGCCGCGTGGTTGATGCTATGCTCGGGAAACGATTTGCAGCTGCAATCCTTACTATGTAGATCTGTATGGTAAAGTAGTGCTGCGGCTCGGTTCAGATGAATCGATTGGTGTATCAGTGGAGGCGTTACGTCGGCCCTGGGACTCTGTTTTCGCTCTCTTCGTCATTTAGAAAGTCGTAACCACACGTCGCGTTCGAGGATCCCTGTCGATTTGCTTTCTTTTGAGACGTCTCAAAAGTCGATTGCTTTCTAGCAGCTGTAAGATTTGTCTTTCGGGTTGATAACAGAGTTTCGTAGAGTCCAGCCTTGTTTTTCCTGAATGGCGAAGTTCGAGCTGGAGGCGGGAGATTATGTAGAATTAACAGAGGAGCGACTGTCGGTGGATAAGTACATCGATTTGGTTAGGGATCCCGGTGCTGGAGCCATATCTACGTTTCTAGGAACGACTCGTGACTCGTTTGAAGACAAGGTTGTGACCCGCCTCGAATATGAGGCTTATAACGAGATGGCGATCAGGCAAGTGTATCTCCGTTGGCGGAGTCATTGACCACCTCTCTCGCGCTTCCCCCCTTCCTTTCCCCTCCCTTCCCCCACCCACATCCCCACTCCCCAACCCCCCCACCCCGCCTCTCTCCGCCTACCACTTCCCCTATTTCCGGCCTTCTCTCTCCACCCCCCTCGCTTTCTTCTCCGTCCCTTCGTGCTCTCCCTCTTCCCGCTTCTGATGCTCCCTAATCCCTATAGTCCATTGACATTGCATTTCTGTACCGCACTCTTCTTCCCCGCTTTCGAGTCGACTCAAAACACGTCTCCTCCGCCCTTCCGTGGGCTCCCTCTTCCCGCTTCCGATGCTCCCTAATCTCTAGAGTCCATCGCCATTGCATTTCTGTACCGCTCTCTTTTCCCCCTTTCCCGGCCCCTCCCACCCGCCGATTTCCCTATCTTTTCCCCTCCAACCCCCTCCCTTTCTCCCCTGCCTCCCTTGTCCCCCCTCTTTCCCCATCATCCGATGTCCATGACACACCGTCCCCCCTTTTTGGGCCTTTCACCCTCCTATTCCCGTGTTGTTCGAATGGCCCGTCTTCCAATTTGTCCTCCGAATTTCAGTGTCCTGAAACAGATCATCCAGTCGGCGCGTGCCAAGTGGCAGCTGAAGAAGGTCGCAATCGCTCACTGCTTGGGAGTGGTCCCTGTATCGGAGGCCAGTGTAATCATTGCTGTGTCCAGCGCTCACAGAAAAGAATCCCTCGCTGCAGTCACATTCCTTATAGACGAGCTTAAAGCGAAGGTGCCTATATGGAAGAAAGAGGTGTACGCTGGGCGTATAGGTGATCAGGTAAAACCCAGTAGAAGTACAGATGTTGAAGGTGGTGGTGGTGAGGGTATTGCACTTGGCGGTGGCACCACCAGTGGGGAAGAAGAAGCTGTTTGGAAGCAGAATGTAGAATTCGTTGCGGCTCATCCAGGAAGCTCTGAAGGCCATACTCCAAGTTCTTGATACCATGGCAAGTGCAAAGTGGAGGTGCTAGGGTTGCTTGCTCTTGTTGGAAACACATAGTTGGCGCTTCTGAAGTATCAAAGTAATAACACGAACGAAGCAGACTACAGTGAAGCAACAAGCGAGTCAACAAATGTAACAGCTGGAGGTTACGCGAAGGTCAAAGGTCAGCGACCTTTGACTCGACGAAAATACAGCGCGACAGCAAGGACAAGCAACTGACTCGACATTGAGCAGTTGCCCGAGTCGTCACTATATCGAACCGCAATAGCAAAAACAGTTAGCCGCACCTCTTCGTATTCCTTGTACCGTATTCTCCCGGACATAGCACCCTAGGGTATAGCTAAAATACAGGGAAAAAATGGGGGGGGTCTCCTCATAGGAAAAAAATACATAATACCCGGGTCTTTACATATGGTATATTTTAGTGTTAGTGTTTATTTAATTAGACAATGTGGGTGTTTTGATTTTCATTTTAACATCACTGTCTGAGGCGCGAATGTGGGTTTCGGCCACGAGCTTCATCACCCCCACGAAAATGCCATGTGGCACCTCTCTTGCCACTTGCAGCGGAAGATTCGCCTGCAGGTGGTCACAGCGAAGTAGTGCGAGGGGGGAAATCTCGGTAGATTGTAAGTGAATGTACCGCGAAATTTCATCTAGGGAGAAATTTTCGCGATATTCTTCAATATTGCAGCTACTCGTTAACGACTATTATAACGAATTCGTAAGAAAAGGGGGGTGTTATAGAAAATCAGCCCAAAAGGGGGGTATAGTAGAAACGAGGCTCCCCATAACACCCACCCTGCACAAGCTACCCGGGGGTGTACAATTATGGGGGGGTGTTTTGTCCGGGAGAATACGGTAATCATATATATATATCCTTGTATCTCTTTGCTTGAATTAATTCATCTTGCTCTCACACACTAGTGCAAGGTGGTTCAACAGTTTAACAAGTTACTATACGCTTCCGCAATTACAACATTCCTACTCAGAGTCTTAGCCTTGAAAAGATCCTACGAGCTTTTTCTCAGCCCAACATGGTACCGTATTACCCCGGATAGAAGCGCACCCGCGCTTATAATAAAGCAGAGTTTTTTAGGGGGGTGCGCTTCTAATTGAGTCATTTTTATAAGCGCATGCGCTTATATAATGACAGATACAGATATATAATTTTATAGCATCAAAATGTACATCTTAGTCGTACCATTCCAATCGAGGCGAAATTTTATAGCGCCAGGAATCAGAATCGCGCGCTACCGATTTTTTTCCAACACACAGGGACAAAGACACGTCAGTTTGCCCCTATGCCTGTTGGAATAGCAGTTGAAAGTTAGAAACGAGAAAGAGGTTTGGACTAGCAAGCAGTTGAGTACATATACCAAACCCTAAGTTGGGCTGTACTCACTATTGAGTACCCCACTGCAGGCTAGACAAATATAACATTCTGACACACCCCCATAGCCAAAGTGGGGTGTAATCAGCACAACAAGCAAAACAAAACAAGCTCAGGGTGGATCACAAAGTCACCACACATTCTGAGCACAAGTACAAGAAGTAGCAGTTTATAGTTCACAAATACAAGCAAAGCTAGAGGATATCACAGAGGGCAAGTGAGGAGGAGGAGCTGGACTGATAGGAAAGGAGAGAGGAGGCAATGGCTGAAGCTGCAAACACACGGGCAACAGGAGCGGCGCGCACTGTGGCTACCGGAAGCGCACCTCCGGACTACAGGAGTAACTGGCTCCGCGGCTAAGACGAGCGGCAGGAGCAACGGACCCACGGGCGACTGGCGCAGCAGGCTCGCTGGGCTACCGGAGGCGCACCTCCGGACTACTGGCGCTGCTGACGACACGACGGCTACCTCCACCCAACCTCCCTCTACTGCCGCACCCCCCATTCACACACCCCCTGCTGCACCCCTAGGTTCACTCACACTCCACCCCCTAGCAACACTCCGTCGACTCCCACACACCCACCCCCCTCAGCGGCAGCTGCAGCAGTGGGAGACGGAGTAGGAGGAGGAGCAGGGGATGCCTCACACCCGCCACCCCCAAACCCTAACACAGGGCAGGGCCGTAGATGGCGGGTAGGGAGGGTACGGGGGGGGGGGGCAGGGCCGCGACGAAGACGGGGGCAGGGCCGCGACTGAGCAGGGCCGGGCAGGGCAGGGCCGGGACAGGGCCGGGGCAGGACGGCAAGGCAGGGCCGCGACGACGACGGGAGGGGCCGACGCGCGGCCCCCCAGGGCGCCGAAACAGGCGGCAGAAGGGGGGCGACGCGCGGCCCCCCTTCAGGTCGCTCCTCCTGTCGCCTGTCGAGGCGACCTGAGGGGGCCGCGCGCGGCCCCCTAGGGCGTCGCGACGGGCGACGGGAAAAGATGAGGGGGGGGGGGGGGGGGGGGGGGTGTGCGCGGGCCCCCTGTGTGCCGCGACAGGCGACGAACCCGCCGCGCGCCTCAGGGCGCACGACGGGCAGGGCACCGTCGCGCGCCTCAGGGCGCACGACGGGCAGGGCGCCGTCGCCCGCCACGGGGCGCACGACGGGTAGGCAGGCAGGCAGGCAGGGCGCGCGGCGGGAAGAAAAATTGCCGCGCGCCCATGGCGCGCGGCAGGCAGAAAAAACAGCGCGCGCCCGAGGCGCGCGATAGGCAGGACAGCAGCAGCGGAAGCATTGGGTGGGCCCATCCACAGGATCGACCCGTGAGGGTCGACCTGCTCTGATTCCATGTTGGAATAGCAGTTGAAAGTTAGAAACGAGAAAGAGGTTTGGACTAGCAAGCAGTTGAGTACATATAGCAAACCCTAAGTTGGGCTGTACTCACTATTGAGTACCCCACTGCAGGCTAGACAAATATAACATTCTGACAATGCCAGCACATCTTGACCTGACGCGCAGCTTCTGAGGTCTTCGCGAGTCAAACGAAGTGATTAAGAAATTAAGCTCGCTTCAATTTTGAAACTCGTTACTGTGTTTAGCAGATTTCAAATAAAAAAATATGCATGCGCTTATAATAAAACAGGGTTTTACAGGGGGTGCGCTTATAATTGAGGATCGGCCATAAGCGCATTGATCCAGATATAAGCGCATGCGCTTTTAATAGGCCTGCGCTTATATCCGGGGCGATATGGCAACTCAGAAGGAGAGGAGTTCTTCCAACGGATCTTCCGGCACTACTCCTACTCCACCTCCAGCCTCTGGTCTACAGACAGAGGAAGGCACAGCAACAAGACCAGCTGCGGAGTCTACCGAAACTCCCGGGAATCAAACAACAAGCTTTGACCCAAGCATGATGGAGAATTTTTTCTCCTTCATGTCCTTCTATGAGCAGCACCAGCAAGCAGCACCTGCACAATCAAACAACAGCGACAACAACAATAGGGTCACCCCAATGAGCCTTGACGGTTCATCCTATGCGCACGGAAACCAGCAGCTGTCAAACATATGTTTATATGTTATAGTTTAGGTAGGCTTTAGTGGGGTACTCACTGTGGGGTACAACTGTTGAATAACAGATGGAAGTTAGAAACGAGAAAGAGGGATTGCACTAGCAAGCAGTTGAGTACATATAGCAAACCCTAGATTGGGCTGTACTCACTATTGAGTACCCCACTGCAGGCTAGACAAACATAACATTCTGACACACCCCCATAGCCAAAGTGGGGTGTAATCAGCACAACAAGCAAAGTAAAGCAAAGACAAGCTCAGGGTGGATCACAATGTCACCACACATTCTGAGCACAAGTACAAGAAGTGACAGTTTATAGTTCACAGCAATAAGTAAAGCTAGAGGCTATCACAGGGGGCAAGTGAGGAGGAGGAGGCTGAACTGATAGGAAAGGAGAGAGGAGGCAACGGCTGAAGCTGCAGACACACGGGCAACAGGAGCGGCGCGCACTGTGGCTACCGAAGGCGCACCTCCGGACTACAGGAGTAACTGGCTCCGCGGCTAAGACGAGCGGCAGGAGCAACGGACCCACGGGCGACTGGCGGAGCGGCATCACTGGGCTACCGGAAGCGCACCTCCGGACTACTGGCGCTGCTGACGACAAGACGGCTACCTCCCTTCAACCTCCCCCACTGTCGCACCCCCACCTGTCACACACCCCCCGCTGCACCCCTAGTTTCACTCCCACGGCACACCCCCATAGTATCAACCCGTCGTCTCCCACACACCCACCCCCCTCAGCGGCAGCTGCAGCAGTGGGAGACGGAGTAGGAGGAGGAGCAGGGGATGCCACACACCCGCCACCCCCCACTCGCCACCCCCAAACCCTAACACAGGGCAGGCCCGGAGATGGCGGGTAGGGAGGTTACGAAGGAGAGGGGGGGGGGGGGGGGGGGGGAGCCGGTACAGGGCCGGGGCAGGATCGCGACGAAGACGGGAGGGGCCGACGCGTGGCCCCCTTCTGTCGCCCCTCCCGTCGCATGTCGAGGCGACCCGGGGGGGGGGGGCGCGCGCGGCCCCCCCCCAGGGCGCCGCGATGGGCGACGGGAATGGGGCCCGCGCGGGCCCCCGTTGGCGCCGCGACGGGCGACGAGGGGGGGGGCCGCGCGGGCCCCCGTTGGCGCCGCGACGGGCGACGAGGGGGGGGCCGAGCGGGCCCCCGTTGGTGCCGCGACGGGCGACGAGGGGGGGGCCGCGCGGGCCCCCGTTGGCGCCGCGACGGGCGACGAGGGGGGGGGGGCCGCACGGGCCCCCCGGGCGACAAAACCGCCGTGCGCCCCGAGGCGCGCGACGGGCAGGGCACCGTCGCGTGCCACGGGGCGCACGACGGGTAAAGCAGGGCGTCGCGCTGCCCCTAGGGCGGCGCGACGAGCAGAAAACCGCCGCGTGCCCATAGCGCGCGGCGGGAAGAAAAAAAGGCCGCGCGCCATGGGCGCGCGGCAGGCAGAAAGATAGCGCGCGATAGGCAGTGTTGACAGCGGAAGCTTGGGTGGGCCCATCCACAGGATCGACCCAAGGGGGTCGACCTGCTCTGATTCCATGTTGAATAACA